TAACGAGAAATTTGGCAAAAGATATACCGAGTGGCATATATTGAAATTAGCATCTGGTGTTCTAGCAGTCGTGGAATGTCTTGAGAATGGAGGATATGATATGAATCGAAGCGACATCTTGACAATCATTAAATTTTTCATCAAGTACGGATTGTTCGAAAAGTCGTCGGATTTTGAAAAATCTTTGTATAATGACGAAGAGTTTACGAGCACAGCAAAAGAGATAACGATCATTCCTAATTTGTCGCTTTACGATCTAATCCAGTTACGGCCCGAAGAGGAGGAAAAACTGCTCACATACATGGACTACTTCGAGATCGATCTGTTGTTTCAATATAGATATTATGATGGGTACCCTTATCTAATCCCCAAAAAATATTGCGATATGTGCTTGGCGCACTTATGCGAAAAAATGTCAAGAGGATACTTTCAAAGGTTAGCACTGGATTCTTTACGGGAGTTGACGCGGGACCGGCTACCAATTCCCTGCTACGAAGAAATCATCGAGAAGCTGAAGAACGAGGATTTGTTCAGAATATGCCAGGCAGCAATAGCAGAATTCCTGGCAAAAGAAAAGTAAGTTGAAACATGTAAAACCGTTCACAGAGGTATTTTGTCTTCTTTTTCGTGAATATTTTTACCCTTTAAATAATAATTTTAATCATTTTTTGGAACTTACCTTTTTCTTTTTTTTCAGGCAAAGAAGTTGAGAAATTATAAATTTGTCACCTCTATTTCCAATCATGAACTATTTTGTTACTGTGCAAGTTTTACTGTGTGAAACAATGTAATATTTTATATGGAAATAAAATTAATAAAGTTAATTGTATGTATGAGTCATTTCACGTCAAGTCTCCAGCGGTGCACGCGAGCGGCCTTATTAAGACAAACTGCTCAATTTGTAACTCGTCAGAAAAGCATCTAAATGCACCTAAAAAAATAAGAGCCACATGACTTCGATGGGAAATTACCTCAGCTTTCCGATGGTGAGGACAAATTTCCAAAATTTTCCATTTTCCCCCAGAAAATTGCCGGAAAACCTTTAAAGTCGAATATCTCAAAAACATCATTTTCAAGATTTTTCTAAATAGTCTCAATCGAAAGCTGAGGAAAATTCTGATTTATATGCAAGTTTTCAGAGTGTAGTATCTATACAGGGTGCGACAAAAGCATGGAAATCTCTGGAAATATCGCAGAATATTCGTTAAAAAAAATCAAAGACCCTATATCCGACGTATTTTTCGACAAGGAATCCGACGGTGACCTTGAATTTGACCTTGGACGTAACCTTGAAGCGCCAGTGACCCAAAAATCGATTTTCCAAAAAGATACCCCCATTTTTTATTGCCTCAAATTTTTTCAGATTTTTTAATTGAAGGCGATAGCTTATAGAGCCAAAAAATGCTATTTTTAGCAAAAAAAGGTTTCTAGAACCCGATGATTCCGGTGAAAAAAATTGGAGATATTTTTTTACTGGATTATTAAACTATTACGATTTGACCAGACTTATTAAACTATTACGAATGCATTTTAAAAGGTTCGGTACGTCGTAACCGACAAAGATTTTACGATCATTAACAATTAAATACGGATTATTTTCATTGTTATTTAATATTTGTATGGCTTTTTGATTAGGCGAACCTTGATCGCAAACCATGTACCTTACTCTAAACCCGATTTTATCTGTCATTTCAATTATGCGCCGAATCATTTCGGCCAAGAATCCCCAGCTACCGCGGATTTTGACGTAAAGTAAGTACATTAATGGCTGTTTCCAGTTATAGGTTGATCCCCGCAGTATAAAAACTAAAACAGATGTCGCCATTTTTGATTCCCTGCCTCCGAAATCTAGCTCTAAGTCGTGAAAGCCTTCAATGTAATCTTCTTTTAAGTTATATTCTAAGCCCGATTTAATATTCATTTCGTCCCAGCACAAAACCGCTTCTTTCTCGAAATCTGACTTGTCCCGCAATTTTTTTTCTAATTGATCGAATAATTTTTGGTTTTTACCGGTTTTCAAATTTAAAGCATTAACGCAAGACCGAATTCAATTTACTGATGGTAATTTAAACTTCTTATGCTCTCGTAAAAACACATAAGCTTTCGAAGATTTACAAAACAACCCTAGAGCGAATTGTTTTTCATCTTCCTCTCACTTTCTGCGCTTTGAGTGCATAAGTTGCATTTTTAAGAAACGATTCATTTTAACGCTTAAATACCGGGAAGTTTCTTGTAATATTTCTTTGATAGATAATTTAGGACGTTTTTTATTTTCGTTTCGTTTAATTTTTTGTTTAAGAGTTTTATTTATGCGCATAAGTTTTTATTTATTTATTTATTTTTTTAAGATATTATAGCTCTTTCGTTCATTAATTTATTTACTGTCGAAATATCAGATTTAAACGTATTGAATATTTCGCGTTTATTTAAAAGTTCTATAATTAAATTATTGTCATTATCCATTATCGCAGACATATTGAAATTATTTACTGCTGTATTTTTCAGACACGTTCTAACGCTGCCATGATACTCATAATCCGTATTTAAAAAATGTTTGCTGCATACCCGTCTATTGTGTAAACGTTTGTCATTAAGTTCCCTAAGCTCGGCGTTGTCATACATCAAGCCACTGGTCTCGGCTAATACAATAATAAAAATTTTGTTAATAGAAATATAATTCACTGCTCTGAACACGTTAGTCATAGAGAAGCGGGTATTTAAAAATGAATTAATATTACTCTTAACAATCTTAACTATCTTGACTGTAAATATAATCATAAATATAATAAATGATTTGGATGATAAAAAATATGCACAAAAAATATTTTCAAGAAAAATTTTCAAATAAATTTTTTCAAAGCCATTCATTTTATTTAAAATATTATTTTTCAAATATTTCCTGTAAAAATACATCATTTTTTAAAATAAATGTGCCTTACAATTAAATGTGAATATCATTTTTTTTTATAAAAATATTTTTGTAAATTTTTTAAGATTTTTCAATTTCAGGCCTTCACAAAAAATATAGATAGAAAATGGACGTTTGTAGGGGAGGAGGGAGGGGGTCTGAAATTTTGATTTTGGCACTTTTTTATCGTGTACTATAACAAAGCGCGTCAAGATCGGTGACATACGTGCGGACGAAAATTTAAAAAAGTATTATTTTGACCCACATACATTTGGAGCCTTGGTCCCGCGTCGTATAATCGCGTTTAAACACAGCGACGCTCAATTTCATCGCATTTTCAAGCATCTCGATACTTTCTCAACGGGACACACTGGCTCGCGCGCGCGTGATGATCTTGAATGCAATTCTTTTTCCTACATCTGGCCAAGATCAGCCACCGAGAACGTGCAGAGTCATTGCTCCTTGAATCGGCCGATCGATCGGCAATATATCACGAATAATGTTCGCATAAACGCGCGCGGCTTCGATGACTTTGTATCTGACGTTGCGCGGCAATTATACATCACCAGCTCGACTCGATCGGAGAGAGTAATTAATACGTCGTTTTTCGCAATGCCACGAGTGTGGTGTGTATATCGCACGACGACGTCGACGCCGACATTGAATCGAATCGATAATCCCTCCTTCCCCGATGAAATATGTGACAATAATTACAAAAAAAAATGCGCCGATGATCGCATAGTAAATGATTTGGCTTGTGCACTTCGTTCCGCTGCTCGATGCACGTAGTCTATAAAAATATGTACGACTTTACATCGATTTTTAGTTTGAGGCGGCCTTGGCATAGTGCATATTCAGACTGAATGTTAATTTAAAGGACAATGCAAGTACTAGAATCGTTTCATCAGGACATTGTTTCGCTGTGAATTCCGCTAACGTCTAATTACAGTAGTTCAAAATTATTGTTCCTAGCTTCATTGGAAGTTATTAGATTATAAAAATAATTCTAGTTCTTATCATAAGCATTTATAATAGTCTTTTTTCTAATGCAAGTAATCATTCGAAAATTCGTTTTTATCAATTTTTTTTCCATTTATTTGATAAATCAGAGTTTATTTAATTTGTTAAACACCTTAATGATTGAGACATTATTTTAGTAATATGAATACAAATTTTCGATTATAGTCACAAAATATTACCACGTGAGTTTGATACGTTTTTAATGATATATGATCGGTCGCATCTAGATCAGTCGTTAAGTGGGTCTAATTGTTCCCACTCGATAACAAAAGATATGGGATCGGTGCAACTCGTATATGACGAGCACATCTTATATTCCGGAAGCTCATAGGGTTTTCGAAGCAATTAAAGATAAAATCGCTCACTCAAGTACTTGCTACGTATTATGACTCCCTGGAACTGAAAACCTTGGAATATACGTATACCTACGCGATCATATATATTTGATGAATTCTTTTAACTATTCAAATCTTTGAAAATGAGACGGGTAGATTGTCTTCGGTAGCGCCTGCATGCAGACGACCTGTCCAACAGTACACGATCGAACAAATTACATGAGCGGTAAAATCCTAATTTTTCATACAACGGAAAATTATTGTTGAATGAATAATTTTGTTGAAGTAAAAGATATTAATCAGATCAAAAGTTATTGATGCTGAAAAGTATCGAAAATTTTCATTATTTCAACATGCAATAATTTTTATTTCGAAAACGAAGCCATGGACGACAGAATTGCACGATTAATTTTTGATTTAGAACAAACCGAGGAATCTACAAATAATTTTTGTTTTGAGGAAAGTACTTTAGCTTTTAAATAATGATTTTTTTTCCTGATCACTTGTGACTCCAGCAAAAAGAAATTTGGTTTTTATGGGTTAAAGAAGTGGATATGCTACATCTATCGGCTACGAAACGCCCTCGAGATGTTGAACTATTACGCGCGAGTTAAAAGTTCATTGTCCGAATTCCCGCTCGCTAATACTTTGTTCTCGTTGGTATATTTACAAAATATACGACTTATCTCTGCGCAGTTGTGCGTGTCAATCGTGTTGGCCAATTTTCGGGTAAGGCTTCGAATTCCGCGAACGATCGAGCTGCATCTCGAAAGCAACGTCAACGCATAACGTTCGTCAGTTGGAGAGTTTTCACAGTCACAGTATTGCTAAAAAAATCATGTCGTCTGCATTTGAGGAATCCGATCAAGTGGCTGACTGTCCGAGCCCTCATCGGGAACTCGTTCGCCTCATTAATATTGTCTGGGCTGCGGCTATGGTGGGATTTGGTTTTTGCGACAATTTGGCAGAAGCTCCTCAACGTTCGTTAAAATTATCTTTGTCGAAGCGATTGTAGTCTCGAGAGCATCTGTTTTGCTGTCTGGGTTTAAGGTAAGTCAACAGATAAGACGTTGATTTTCCTTCATGGATTCGCAAATATTTACTTTCTTATAATTATCGTATGTCGTAGTATTGTCTATGGTGAATCATTAAAAGAGAGCCACATCGAAAGAAAAGCCTAAAGCGTAATTCAGTCAGTCTCCAGCCTTTCATCGAACAAGAACTGAATTCTTATTCTTTCGTTCAAATTAAACTTGCCCCTTCCACACCGTCAATCATGTTTGATACTATTTCACTCTTGAATACCATCGAGAATCGAATTGTGGCCGAGTTCGTTCCGAAAAATTTCAAAATTCAATTCATATTTTTGATGACGGCTTGCTTCATTCTTTTCCGTTTTATCCACGCGTGGAAAGCTGAACGTGGACTCGAACGTGAACGTGAACTTGAACGTGCACTAGAACGAATACGCGAACGTTATCGTGAACAAGGCCAAGAAAGTCAACAGCAATCGACTGTAATTTAGATATAGTTTTTTAAAACATTGCAAGTACCATGAATACAAAACCGCGACTTAAATTCAATTTTGGCATCTTATTGCAAATCAAATTTTTCGAAAAATAAGGAAAACAAGGTCGCGCGAGAAAACCAAACTTACGGTCAGTCACATACAATTTCTCTTTCGCCTCTTTGTACCTTATAAATCTTATTTTTCGACTGGACCTGGTTTTTGTTCAGTCATCGTGCTGAGAATCTCAAAATTGAATTGCACTATTCTTATAATCCAAACGACGATATTCAACTACGTTTTTAGGTTCAAATTCGATATCAATCTGCATCGAATAACGTCATCATTTCAGTTGCATTTGAAAAATCAGTTTTCAAAAATAAATTCATCAATGCCGCTTTATAATTTTACTCCGCAAGACTATTTCTATCTATTTTCTGTAGGCTCCGTAATAGATTATAGATTTTCAAGAAATTCATAAGTAACATATATTCAAACACGACGTAAATCTCGTTACTAGTGCAGACAAAATTTAAGTGTGTGCGTGTGTGTACTGAGCGCTCTTATTGTGTCGAATTTTGAGAGAGCTGCTAGTTCGAAAAGCGACGAGAGCAAATCTACGTTCAGTCAGTGACGATTTTCCGTGCAACTCACATCTCATATTTTAGAGTTTTATCTTTCGCCTGGACTAATTTCGTCCTATCCCGCTCTACAGAAATGATTAAAACCATGTCATACGTATATCTAATGATATACGTCATTATTCCACTCGCAACGTTAGCAATGTGCGAAACTTTAGTTAGACCTCATTTACGATTTCCAGTGTTTTTCTTTATCACCTCATCCTACTTGTTTCGACCGAGTCAAGTCTTTAGAAAATTCGTCTATTTTATTGGTCTTTGGTTGGTTAAAACATGGGTCAATCATTACAATCAACAGCAGGCGACGTAAATTTATTTTCTCGTAACAAGTGTTTACAAAATTCCAAGGGTGTGTGTGTGTGTGTGTGTTTGTGTTATGGCGAGAGCGAGCTGCCCGTTGAAAAGCGAGGGAAGCCAATTAACGTTCGAACAGATACGATTCTCCTCTCGACCGATACACACGTTTTATTTTTCGACTGGACCAATTTTGTCCTTTTAACTCTCAGTGATCATCATGGACGACCAACAATTATGTCAGTTAACCTGGTGGGAAAATTTTGTAAAGTTCGTTTTCGAAAATAGGCAGTCTGTCGTTACATTGTTGTCATTTGTGTATATCAACTTAAATTATCCCATGTATGATAGTCCTCGAGTGTACCTGTTAACGTATCTCAGTACAGTTTTTTTTGCATGTTTGTTCAGTCTTTTCGGGATTCAGTAATGTGGACGTATAGCTAAATTCATCTAGCTACGTAATCTTTAAAATAAATGTAAGTTTCTTACACTTTTGGGGGGGGGGGGCCAATTATACATTTTTATATAAAATTGTCGACGCGAGTGCGTCTGTACTCAAAACGCACCCGAGCAGCCGAACTGATTTTCCCCACCCAAGCCGGTGCTCGGCGCGCGCTTAACCCAGACTCGACAGAGAGGGAGCCTGCGGCCGAACGAAATATTTCATGGGCAACCTATATAGACCCTTTTTATGTATTACAACATGACTTATGGTGGACTGGCTCAATCATGCCGACTGTGCGTAGGAGGAGGCTGCAAGGTTAATTAATAGGAGTGGTCAGCTGTGTAAAAAAATGCGGTAAGGATAATAAGTTTATTTACTGAGAGACTGTAACTCGCTCTCTCACCTTTAATTGTGCATCTTATATTGTTACAATTGATTGACATATTTTTAAGATAAGTTCATTAATCCTTTTTTTTGTTCATTGTTTTTTGTTTCATTTACAGGTGTTCAACGACAGAAGACTATCGCGCGACCACATAATGTTCGATTCTCGAAATATCCTCTGTATATTAATAGAGTCGCCTACCTGCATTCAAATGGGCTATCATCCAGCTATAAATATAATGTCGTTGCTGCTAAAAAATTTGAATATATTTGGACTTGGCTGATGCTGCGGTGCTCTCTCCCCATGATATGGTCTTCACACACTCTCTACAGTCTACATCCTTGGCTCGCAATTGCTAGAGAAAATAAACCTGCAACCAAAAATATAGCTGAAAAAATTTTTTGACAGATATGCAATTTTCAATTTTTAACAATTCAACGACATCATGATGATTAAGAAAATTTTCAATGGCCTGCTCCTTGGTTGCACTTCCAATATCTTTGGTTTACTGGCTCCACTTCTTATTCCACCAATTCATATTGGCTTAATTTACTATTTTTGGCGAGACTTTTCCAGAGAAGTTGACAGAATTTATTGCACATGTTCTTGCTGGGACACTGTTTTTAAAGGTAAGATGCTTTATTTAAAGGTCAAAATTTACAAGATAATCTTTATTTTATTTTTTACAATTTTTTTTTAGGTTCATATGAATCAGGTGTGGCTTCCTATAAACATATGTACTTCAATGCTACACCTCAAACGCTCAAAATGTGGGTTGCTGTAGTACTTGGAGTTGTGATCTCTTATGAAACTTTTAAACATTTGGCGTTGTTAGGATTTCAACGTCAAATACGTTGGAGCATGTTAATTCTCTTTATTAGTGCAGTATTTTCTCATTACTATTCTTGGTGGGTCTATATTAATTACTGGAATGATGATTTTTATTCTCAGTGGTACCATCAGTTCTTTTTTTCAATTACTGAGCTTATATCTACATTTTTTGTGATTCATTTGACAAATACCAAAAATTCTGTTACACGAAGAAAAGCTTTGATTATAGTAAGCATCGCCGTACTACATATCCTTGCTGGTGGGTGGGACCAGTTTTATACAAATGTTTTGAAAGGACAAGGTTTTGCTCATCAGGTAATTTTAAACAATTATATTCAAAATCTTAAGTCAACCTCAAATGAACTTAGAAATCAATTGAATTTTACAGATTGTTCGTGATTTGGGATTCATGATTCCAGACATTCTTCATGTAATTATTCCAATATACCTATTGGAACCTAAGAAGACATATTCATTACCTGGAGCTGAGCTTCGAGATACAAATCTGGCAAAAGATTTGATGTATATGTTTGGTATAGTTTTTTTCGGCCTAGTTATATGTTCTACATTATAAGTAAATTTGATAAAAGTATTTACATCACCAAGACTGTTCTCATAATAAGTAGTGAAAGATTTTAGACGAAAGTTAAAAAAGTGATAATTTTTGAGCTGAAAAAAAACATTTTTTATGTGATTTTTGAATAGTCTCATAATGTTTGTTGACAATTAGACATAAATGTTGAACTAATATGACAAAGTAAACATAGTTGTTCATATTATACTACTGTTAGAGAAAAATATTAGCTAGATGAAAGAAATTAGTCTTGTAGAAAAGTAAAATCCATCATACTAATCAACTTGAGAATAGATTAAAGACTGATTTTTTTAATGATTTTTAAATATTATGTTATATGTATACCATGAAATTGTTATGCGAAATTTAAAATATGTGAAAACAACTGTAACGAACTTTTCAATTAAATGTATGTATATTTTTACTTGATTGAAAGTGCCTAGGAAGTGCAATAATTGCATGAAAAATTAAAGTTTTCTGTTGTTGAAAGAACATACTAATGATTTCTTGAAATGTATTGTGCATATATAAGCAAAAAAATATCAGATGTTTTAAAATAAATGTAGTGTTACCAAAGTACTTGGGAAAATTCTCGTACCAGTTCTTATTGTTCATAATACCTATTTACCATTCAGAAACGAATTGATTTATTGATCACTAGCAGTCTTAGCAATTTTAAAATAACATTAACATAGCTTACATATTCAAACACAGATATTTCAAAGCAGTTGAACTGATTATAATTTTATTTATGATGAAGGGTGAAATTGATACTACATAATGTTCGTTAAATTTCAGACGTACTTTTGATTGCAATCAAATCGAATCGAGCTTAAATAACCGTTGGTAAAATAGATCTCGCAATTGTGTCAACGATATCGAAGGATACTGCGAATAGGATATGTATTATGTACATAACGCGTTAGCTGACGTTTTGAACGTCAAAAACGTATAGGATCAGCAGCATACGCGCGAGAAAATACACGCATGACAGAGACTATGAGGTATAACTATATATATTGTATCCGCATGAAAGCGGAGCACATAGTCCGCGCGCGCGACTTGCAAGTCGTGCAAGTTGCGCAAGCCCCAAAATCGATCTGTTTGGGCTCTGTGGAATAAAGGCTATATACGGAGAGGAGCTGCTGCTGCTGCTACTGCTGCTGTTGCTGTTTTGCACATACAAGCAAAGCCACTGCCAACAAACAACACGCGCTGCTTCTCTCTCTTTTTCTTTGTCATACACGCCATCGAGGATTGAGCTTGCACGAGATACCGTCTTCTCGTTTCATACACGAAAACCAAATCGAATTTTGGCAAAAAATTAAATCATGGCTCTCGAGTTTGCCGCTACCTACAAGGTACTAGTTCTCGGCGACTCGAACGTCGGCAAAACCTGCATTGTGCATCGATACTGCGACGAGAGATATTACGACACTTACATATCGACAATTGGTGAGAAAAAACTTTTTTCTATATTTCGTTTTCTACCTTATTCGGCTGTTTCTTTGATGTCAATATTATTGTTCTGTAGCGACGAGTTCGTTGATTCTTTCGCACGTCAAAGCTCACCGTCTTCTTTGTTCGCGATTATCAACACTGCTCGAGATTGTGTTAAAATAACTTTGCTTAATCTGTAAATTTGGAAGAGACTTTTGCAATTGAATTTATAAGTAATTTTATTTGTTTAGATTATTTTTACTATAAATTAAAAAAAAACTTTTATTAAACATAGTAATTTTTGACTTGAATATTTACTAACGGAAAGTCGCATTTATTTTTCATAAGAATATAAAGTATCAGTCCACATTGAATGAAAATACGTCATGTGCGAAACTCCGACATTATCGATGAAAAAACTCTTGTTTACCGTATTAATTTTTCAAACTCCTTCCTTGAATTGACAGGTATTGATTTCAAACAAAAGATCATCAACCTCGACGGTACACCCATCAAGCTTCAAATCTGGTAAGTTATACCTATGAATCATACTTTATTTTTATTGATTTTTCGAGAAAAAAAGCAAAATCATCGACTGTTTTCTGAGCATACTATTGCTTGAATTTGTAATTTACTTTAGTGTAGCGAAATTTGGAGAATTTCAAAAACCAATGAAAAAAAATGATCAGAAATACTCAGCTTCAAAAAAAAAAAATCAAAAAGTCATTGTAAAGTAACTAAAAATATCTGTAATAATTTTTTTCAAGGGACACGGCCGGCCAGGAACGATTCCGTACCCTGACAACCGCTTACTATCGCGGAGCTATGGGTATTCTTCTCATGTACGACGTCACCAGTCTCGAAAGCTTCAACAATTTGTCTTATTGGCTACGAAACATACAAGAAGTGAGTAAAATATATATCGACCTGTGCGGCGACGCTTCATTCATTTTTTCACCCGATCGTTTTTACTCGTTGCACAGAATGCCTCCCCGGACGTGGTGAAGGTTTTGGCTGCGAATAAATGCGACGCCACGACTCAGCGAGCCGTCAAGATCGAGCAGGGCCAAAAGATAGCCGAGAACTTCGACATGCCTTTCTTGGAGGTGTCGTGCAGAGACAACATCAATATCGAGGAGTCGTTCCTGACTCTGGCGCGAAAAATTCGCGAGCAACGGGGCCAACGAGTAATATTCAATTTTTCTCTTTATCTCGCTAACATTCGCAAACTGACATTTCAATAATTGATTTTCTTTCTAGGCGAGCTTGTTCGATTCGTCGGAAAAACAGAAAGAGAGCAGCATCATCAAAGCTCTGTCGCCATCGCAGCAAGGCGATGCTTGGAAATGCTCGTGTTAGTCGATTCATTTACAATGGTTCTTTTTAGCAATAAGTTGTTACTTGTAATCGTCGGAAGTAAATGTCAATTTTATATTCTTTACATGTTATAAAAGCTGGAGGGTGTAAATCAATAAATGTCTAAGATTGATGTCGCATAAAATTAAGAGTCAACGGGTTTGCGATCTTAGCGCATTTTCTTTTACTTCCTTGGATGAACTATTATTCCATTGCGAAGGCGACATTTACCAATTTTTGTCATTGAATAACGTACGACCAGAAATTTTACCATTGATTATACTCGAATATCATGTTATAATTATTAGTTTAAGTAACTAACGCACATTTTTTTATACGCGACTTTTGAAGGAAGTTGTAATAATTGACAAGTAGAATAGGTGGTGCATTTACTTATCACTTCTTTTAACAGAAGTCAAACAGATAAATCATAGAATATAATAATCTAGAATTAATTCTCTCTAATTCTTAACGAGCTTCTCAATGTGCATAAGACGAGTGATTTTATTTTACGTTTTTGACTTGAGATAATTACAAAAAAACTCTCCATAACTCAAATTGTAGTGACAATTTTCATGTTTCTCAGGCAAGAATTATTTGAAATTTATCAAGACTGATATGTATAAAGCAATAATTTCGTTTATTTTTTCACGAGGGTAGACAGTGAAAAAAATTGTAAGCGACTTACAGTATAAGTATCCTTTTTTACGTGTCTAAGATATAAAAACTATAAGTAACATGTAAAGGGCCTAGACCTAATTGTTTTTCACCTGTTAATGAAATATACTAGAATTCTATTGTGAGTAAATTACGATTATTTTAAAATGTATGAAAATAACTGTTAAGTATCAAGCACATTGTGATGACTATTGAAAATATAACAATTTGTAATTAAAAGCAAATTTCATCTATTTATTCATAAACTTTAAAATATTGTATGTTGAAGTGTGGATATATATTATGTAAAAATAACAAATTGAATTAGAATTTGGCAAATTTAAATTTAGCCGTTATCGTGCCTATTGATAACAAAGAATAAAAAAACAAAAAACATGTAATTTTGCTTCTATATATTATAAAAAAATAAGTTTAAAGTGAAGAAACCTCAAATTGAAACAATTTTTTAGGTGATTAATATTTATTGGCATGACTTATAAAATGTAAAATCTATGCTTCAAGAGTATTGTATTTAAAATTCTGAGGCAAAGATTAGAAATCTTCATATATAAATGTTTTACATTTTTCTACCGTGTATAATAATCTTAATATAGATGTATTATTATCAAAATGAAATTTTTCATTTTTAATTAATTCAATAATGGTATAATTTTAAATTATCTTGAACTACATAAAAATGAAATTGGTATACTTAAGTACACTAGATTACAATGAGTTCATATTTTTAAAATTAAATGTAGAAAAATTAATAAATAGTTATGAATACTTTTCATTTAAGGTTTGACTAACTGATATCACAATTGAAATTCTGCTTTTTTGGTATTTTGTATGTTAGATGCTCTGGATAACTTTGTTGGTGGTACTGCACATCTTAGGACGCAGCTAGATTTTCTTTTTGAGCAGTTTTTTGTTGTTACTTTTGGTTCAATATCTTTTTTTTCCACATCTTGTACTTCCAATTTTGCAATCTGTTTTGCAGTTTTATTATAATTCATAACCTCTAGAAATACATTTATTTTATCCAAAGGTTTATCATTTTTCAATTTGGTTTCAAATACTTCCTTTGAAAACTTCTCGGTTATCATGCTACCTGCAATTGAAATAAAAATTAAGTTCAAATTATATAGTATCAATTGTACATGAAAAAAATTATTTTTGATTCAAATCATACTTCTTAATAACTTAATTCCCTCAGCTTTATATTCTTCTATTTCTCTATCTTTCTGATTTACTATGTTTGTTAGCTGATTGTAGCGATTATAAAGCTCATAAAAAGATGTAAAGAAAATTTCTAACAATGATTCATTAAACTTTTGAGGATTGCACTTTTTTAAATTAATGTGAAACCAAAAGCGAGCGTCATCAATTTTGCTCTCTAATTCTATTTGATCAAGAGAACAAGTAGTAGCATACTTTGGAATATCGAGTAATAAATTATCTACTATTTCTTCAACGTTGTATTCTTCAAATGCTGGATTTAGATCCTGAAAAAATTGTATGCCATTTAGAAAGAGAGTTCAAGGAAGAAGCTGAGTTAAATGTATGAAAGGATTAAGTACCTGACATCTGCTGACAATTGTCTCTTTGGATATGTTTTCTTCATAGAAATCTTTCAAGTTAGTTAAAATAATGTTCCTAGATCCATTTTTTTTGCAGACCCCTATCAAAAATTTAGAGCCACTTATATTTAGGGCCTGATATTTATAAGAATCGTCCAAGAAATTGAAATCTGCCGAATCACTCATTTTCGTCGCGTCAATTTTTGTGCATCATCGATAAAAAAGCTAATAGTTATATTTACTAAATTAAGTATTCTCTTTATTTTACAGATCGAATTGAATATTCATGATTGCAATTAAACTCTTTCATTAAGAATTTTTACATATTAGATAGAGTAGAACTATATTATTATTGGTAAAAATTGGCTAAAAAGCCGCATATGATAAAGGCCATGAACATTGAAGCCGAAAACTTTACTGGATGTAACTTGTTTTCTGCTATAAAATACATATATACGTTTCCCCCTTCCATAGCGAAAAAAGAAATGCTCGCTATCAATTTCCATTGCTTTTAGGTGTATTTCATGCAGGCGTAACGAAAAGGCCGAGCTGCAGTTATTATTCCGGCAGCCAATCTTCTTTATCTACGCGACCACTGCAGCCAACTTAGTGAGTAAACATGCAAATTCAACAAATTGTATGCAACTTATGATAACGAGACATCTAAAGAAATGAAAAAAAATAATTACTATACAAATGATGTATTTAAATTCTTGTAAATTATAATGGTTTTTGTACAATTGAATTGTATTTTTATAAGTCGACGGTAGTGTACTAGTCGATTGCCAGATGGAGCACGCCGGCGATATCGCAATCCGATAAAGAATGCGGACTGGCCAGCTTTTTTACAATTTGCTGTTGGTAGTCAACGCCTTGGACGCGCTCAACATTCAATTGCAATTACATTTCAATTTTTCGCTTATTCTAACTTCATTAATTGACAAACGTGAAAATAAAATCGACATTACATTTTTTTCAATTGAAAAGATTGAAAACGACGCGATTACAATCACAGGTATTACAGTAATTAATACTGCAAATATAATTGCAATCGCGTAAAATAAAAACACGTAAGCCATAAATCATGATACATAAAAATAAAAATGTAACAAATTTCGTACATAAAAAACGAAACAATTGTGCAAACATAAACATGAATTCATGAACATTTTTTAATGAAAAAACATATTTTTCATAATTTCATTAATTTGAAACCAACTTTTAGCTTATTTATAAAAAAAAAAATATGTAACTACTCAAATGATAAAAAAAAACATGAATTTCTAACTTCATTACTTGACTTTCAAAAAATTGAGAATTCAGTCGCTCTCAGAGGAGCTCGACGAGCTTAGAGAGCAAGTGCTGCATGTGCTGCAACTCGTCGACGAGCTTTCCGAGCTCGACTCGGGTAGTCTCGAGGCTTTTTCGTCGTCGGACTCGCTCGATAATACTACCAAACGTAACGAGTCGAAGAAATCGGACGATGGCATGCATTTTTGCTTCTTGCTCGGTAAGAAATCACTCGACTCGTCGTCACTGCTGCTCTCTTCGCTCAATCTCTTTACGCGCGAGTAGAACGGGCTCTTTGGCAGCTCGCCTGGTAAGTAATTGTAATTGTACGTACGGATGCCGTTGAGCTCGATTATTATCGGCTCCATCCAGCTTGGTCGTTTATCGGTGTTTCGCCTGATAGGCAACGGCGGACGAGCTGCTGGTCGTTTTGCAGCTAGTCTTCTTTTCTTGGTAGCAGTTTTAGCTTTTAGGTCGGTTTTCGACAATAGATCTGCCTCGGTTATTGATTTAAGCTTTGGCACGTCGTACGACATGCGGCCATCGATCAACTCTAGTAGCGAGACGTTATTGCAATCGTCAATAATTATCCGATCGCTAGCCGATTCGACGAGGTTTACCTGGAGAAACGATTCGGCCGAGAAATCCATGTCCATGTCGATATTGTTGCTGTCCAACGAGCGGCTCTTCCTCGATTTAATGTTACATCGACGAGGTGTCGTTATCTGCGTACAGCTCGACGAGTTTCCGTCGCTCGTTTCCTGAAGATGCGAGTACCTTTGACTCGTGGACCGATATACCGATCCCGTCCTGCTCGAGCTAGCTCTAGTGTAGGTAGAAGCCGGTGAACTGTTTAACAGAAATTGTCCCGTTGCGTCGGCTTCGTCGCTCTTGAACATTTTCCCTAGTATCTTCATTTTTTCCGCGTCCTTTCGAAGCTCCTTGACGTTAAAATCGACGTACTGCTCCGTCGAGATGGAAACCTGATTTTTGACGTTTTTCGTGCTTTTTCTTGAAGAGACTCTGTTGCCCTCCTCCATTTCGGATCCGGACACGCAAAATTGCGAAATGTTGTCCTCGTCGTCGCTGGCTTCATTCGGCTTTTGTTTAAAATACAAAACATTTTTTTCATTAATCATCAAAGGCTCGCTGCCCGTGCATTATACTTTGATTAGATATCTTACCCTATTAAAGTATTTGGCACTAGTGAACTTTTTCCACTTGTGACTTTTGTCGTCCTCGCGATTGGAATGTAACGGTAGGATATTCAGTGCGTGTTTCAACCAGTTGTCGTAAACGTAATTTTGCGTCGCAGGAGAACCGAATCTAAGCACGAATTCAATAATGCAATAATCATTCATTTTTTACGATAATATAGGCAGCAATAAATTACGAGCCACGATAACCATGACATACTCACTTGTACATTTTCAAGAGATGTTCGAACGCAATACGTAATCGTGAACTACACAAAAGTCACTGTGTCGATAGTTTCGTCGTGTATACGTTTTCTACTTGTTTACCGAATCAACTCCTTTTTTCCAGATAGTATTTACACCCGCGAGCTAGCATTTTTCGTTTGTGTTATTGTATATCACACGTCTCTGGCTACGCGTGGTACTGCTTGTTTACGTTTTTAAACTGCGTATGTAACAGATAATTGTTTGACATCGAGGATCGATCAGACAGTTATATCGTGCTTTATATCAAAACTAATTTTTACGTTTTCGAGATGTTTGATCGAAAAAGGATGCAATATCTTAATTTCGTTTTCATAGGGGTTCTATTAGCTAGTTCAGAGCTTATTTAGATTTAGTGCAAGTGTTCGAACGTTCGACTTGCATTGTTTACATGGCATATAATTTTCAGTAAGTGTGCGATATAGAGCATCTTGTCCACATAATTATCACAGGTGCAGAAAAAATAAAAATAAAAAGCTGAACGAGGTATCGCTTTGATCGCAGGACTCGCAGAGGTCACTCGCTCGCAGACCCATAAGTCGCCGCGTGCTGGGATGGTTTCGTTACCGTCAGTCCCCGAGCAATACAATTGCAAAAATGCACGAGCAGATACGAGCAAGAGCAGCAGCAGCAGTAGGATAGTAGGCCGAATCGGCACTAGGTTGTAGCAGCGGCAGCGAAAGCATGAACAGCAGCAGCAGAAAGAAATCGAGTATATAGGTATATAATGTCGTTCGCGGAGAAGAGGAGCGAGCTCGGACAGTGGGGGGGCCGTCGCGCGGCGAGGAGGGCCAGTCGCCGCCACTTACTCACTTATACACACTCGCTATATAGCAGCTGCTCTAACCGTGTGCGAGAAAGCTGCGCTTCGTTGCCCGGGCCCATGCCCGCGGAGCAGCAGTGAGCATCGACTCTTCGCACGGAGCTGATCGGTATACATATACGCGTATAAACACGGCATCGCGCGGTATAAATGCAACGCGGCATTCGTGTATCGTCGCGCGGACTCGCGTTGAGATCTGCCTTGGCTCGCGGCTGCGGACAGCTGACAATATATCGATCGAGCTCCGAATCGATATCAAAGTGCGCCAAGTAAGCGTAAACGATCGAAATATTCCAAGATCGGCGGATTGAGCAATTACGCTCTCTGGCCCAGGCTACGTACAGAGAGTGTCGTGTACGACATCAGCTGAAGAGAAAGAAAGAGAGAGAGATCGGCGTTTATAGTATAGTAGTAGTGCATCGTGCCGAGGCTCTCTCGCTGCACTCTGCCAGTGGGCCCCTCGTCGTAATTTTAAGAGTGGGGCGAGTATACTCGCCAGCGGAGAAGAGAAAATCGCGCGCGTTGCTGTTCCCGATGCAGCGCAGCTAGTGCACGTTATAATAGTTTCCTTTTGAAGAAAGAGAAAAAACCCTCGCTGGGCTCGTTCGCAAAAGTTACGCAAATACCCGAAAGTGCGCGCGCTGTTTATCGTCGAGTGGCCGAGTGCTTTGCATATACCCGACCCGAGGTATATACGTTCGAGGTTTTCGTGCATAAACCGTAATACGCAACGTGAAAGTGCATGTGCCAAATGCGCCTGTGTACGTGAATGTGCTGGGATCGTGCCGCGAGACCTGTCGATCGTCTAATACTATATTAGTGCGGAAAAATCTCGATAAACGTCTCGAGGGTTGCTACGAAGGAGCCCAAGTCCAAAGGACGATTCTTCGGCGGTCTAGACCGATCGCTATTGATATACGACGATATTATGATATCGTAGAGCTCATCCGCATCGTACCCCAGTGGCAAGCAATTCTCCGTGTGTCGTGTGCGAGTGCGTGTGTGAGTGCGCATGCGAGTGTACACGTGCGTGCGGCCCAAAAAACGGAGCAAAGATCGATTTAGCCACGGTTAGCGGCAGATGTTAGCTATCAATCGAGCGGCGAGATCGGCAAGCCAAGCCGACGATGACGACGAGACGACGACGATCGCAGCTCAGCACGGGCTACATTATGGACGAGCCGCCAATGTCGCCGGGCCCGTCGAAGCGACGCTCGATCGGCACCGCGACGAGGATCGTCGCCGTCTTACTGATAATCGCGACGTTCTCGCTGCAACGAGCGGGTGAGTCAGATCGCGCGTTGTTTTTCCCTCGTTTCACGATCGTTTTTCTTAATGTATCATCGTGCGGGCATTTACACGCGCTCGCGTATATGGGGCAAATTTCCTGAAGTGTCCTAGCGCTCTGCCGCACGGCATTTTTTGGACGAATCACTCAATTTCTAACTCGCTGTAAAAGTATCAAAACGCCCCTCAAAAAAATTACTAACTAATGATTTTGATAGGAAATTTCCTCAGCTTTCTGATGGTGAGGTCCGATTTTCCGGAATTTTCCATTTTCACCTCGGAAAATGCAAGTAAACATTCAAACTCGAATATCTCGAAAAACGCCACTTTTTTTGCGTTTTTTATTGTTTCAATCGAAAGATGAGGTCTTTTTACATCGGACATGGTAGTTTTCAGAGTGTATTTTTGATGAAAACTAAGGAAAATACGGGAGGTTTTAGTTAGCGCTCGGCCGCTCGACGCGATTTCCAGCCTTGCGCGGCTCGCTGTAACTTGTAACTCGCTCTTATGACATTGTGATTTGGCTGGAAAAATTATTAAACATATGGTTTCGATAGGAAATTTTCTCAGCTTTCTTATGGTGTATTTGGATTTTCCGATAATTTTCATTTTCATTAGAAAAAGTAGAAAATAGACATTCAAGTCCATTTTTTCTAGTGAAAATGAAAATTATCGGAAAATCCAAATACACCATAAGAAAGCTGAGAAAATTTCCTATCGAAACCATATGTTTAATAATTTTTCCAGCCAAATCACAATGTCATAAGAGCGAGTTACAAGTTACAGCGAGCCGCGCAAGGCTGGAAATCGCGTCGAGCGGCCGAGCGCTAACTAAAACCTCCCGTATTTTCCTTAGTTTTCATCAAAAATACACTCTGAAAACTACCATATCCGATGTAAAAAGACCTCATCTTTCGATTGAAACAATAAAAAACGCAAAAAAAGTGGCGTTTTTCGAGATATTCGAGTTTGAATGTTTACTTGCATTTTCCGAGGTGAAAATGGAAAATTCCGGAAAATCGGACCTCACCATCAGAAAGCTGAGGAAATTTCCTATCAAAATCATTAGTTAGTTATTTTTTTGAGGGGCGTTTTGATACTTTTACAGCGAGTTAGAAATTGAGTGATTCGGCCAAAAAATGACGTGCGGCAGAGCGCTAGGACACTTCAGGAAATTTGCCCCATATATAGTCGCACACGCTATAATGGTGTTTATCGCCTCGGTCCAATTGGCGAGCTCGGGCAGCTGCGTACACGCGTTACAGCCGCTAAGGATCTGTTTATGCGCGCGTGAAAGTTTTACATTATACATGCACGCGGGCAAGCTGCATACGATTATTATCGACGAAATCGGCAAGAAATTTTTTGCCGCGTTATACGACGCGCAGCATTGATTTTTTTTTTTAATGAGACCGTAAGAAAAGAAGAAGAATACGCGCCATTTCAAGCGAGAAATCGTCAGCTTGAATAGAAAGAATAGAATCTCTGCTGAAACATAACTTTATTCATCGGGTATAGCAAGCACGTGTTGGATATATTATATAGGTCGGCCGTTCGCGCGCCCAGTCGTGATCCCGTGAACTTTTTCGAGACATTGCGAGTATAAGCATACAGTGACGACATTCTTCCAACGCGATTATGATGCAAGGACTCTGTTGCATTGCTCGCGCGTGCTCCGAAAATTAAATCTCATAAAATTCTGCACGACATCCGGCACCGTCGTATTAAAAATTTGTCAAATTTCGAGACCGTCTCGCTGTCGCGCTGCCAATCGGTCACGATCGTCTTTTTCGATGATCGTAAACCCCTCGATGACTGGTAAACGAACGACATATTTTTCCCTAAACTCAAAGTAAACTGAGGCATTTTACAAATTAAAATTTTTAACGCGCGAAATGGCCTACGCGTTGCCGTGCCGATCTTCGAAATGGTTTGTGCGTTGCTCGCGGTGAGGTCGCAGCTCCACGGGGACTAGGAGAAAAACAACTCTCCGCGCCTGGTTATTATAAACTCGAAGAAAAGCGTGTCAGCAGACGGCGCGTACTCGACAAGCCGCGTGTACTATATACATGGTGGCGAAGCCGCACGTTTGTACACGAACTCGATACGATTACCTTGATCGGAATTCAAAAATTCACTACCCCCCAACTTCCACGACACGTTTGGTCAATTTTTCATTTATTTTAACGCGTATCGGGCGTTATCGTAATTTAAAACCGACGAATAAGAATTACATCGTATGGCAATGGTATAAGTAGTGGCAATGCCGCTCGACACGCGCGGACACAAAAAAAAGGCCGTGTCGGAGTCGAGTTCAATCGTCTGCGTCGCATAACGGAAAAATGCCCTCGGCAACAGGTGCGCTTTACTTATATAGCCGTAATGTATATAATCTATCTGTGCTAGACGAGAGCACAGACACACATATAATACCCGAGCTCTTTTTCTTTTGGAGCATAGAGACACGACCGATCGGTGGTACTACGCGGGCAATCGGTAACTCGACCGAGTGGAATGTATGCGCTTACATTCGCGTATCTTATGGGCAAATGGCAAAGCTCTCTGTTATTTGGAATAATTTAAAAGGTTTATCGTTGATTACATTCGGTGATAACACGGTGCGACGCTTATAAAACTCAATTGCGATCCAGCGCGTGAATTTTTCCGCCAATAAAACACAAATCACAAATACTCGTTTCGCGCATTAATTTTACACATTATTGCATAATTCGTCAAAAGCGAAAGTTTCAACTCTTATAAAGATCTCTATCTCTCGAATTAATTCAAGAAGAGCTTACTAATAATTCTCTCTCTTCCGATCAATGTGTGCGTAAAAATATAATAAACATTTTTCGTGTCCGCAATCACCGTCGTCTTTAAATGGCAAAAGTATAGAGCCCGTCGAAACTTTCTCTTTTGTTTTCTACTTTACAAAAATCATCTCAAACAATACGTTCAAAAACTTTTTTCCCCCCCTCGCTGTCGGAAAGAAATTAATGCGGACATTAAGTGAATTAGGTAATAACATACCGGGATCGATATATTTTAATTTGAAAACAGATAACTTTATGTAGGGAAATACAGATCCAAAGATGTATGTCCAAATTATACATACAAAAAACTATTAGCAAACGTATAACATTTCCAAGAAAGACAATTGTTGGCACACAAGGAAATAAGTGACGCGCCATCATTATACCACAGCCGCAAAAGATGACAAACATTCGTCCCGAGTTAAGGTTGTCCGAGCTACGACTCGGGAGTACATGATTTTTTTGTTCCTTCTCAAATCCCCGAGTCCCTCATCGTCGTCGCCGGGTTGCATAAGATGCCAATGATCTTTCCGACCGTATATAATGTGCGCGCACGTGCGTCATAGTAATACCTTTTTTTTTCGTCGATGCGCGTTATATATACATACATTTCGTGTACAGGAGTAAAAGTTTTTCGCAATGTTATATTCTACGTGCGTCATCTCCGCGAGTTTGTTGAGCTGCTCTTGTAACACGTTATAAGTCGAGACAACAAAAGTGAAATGGCTTATATTATAAACGCAATGCATATACACCGCACGGGTCATTATTGTGTGGTACTTTTTTTCACGTCGAGAGAGAAAAAAATTCACGAGCTCGCTCGAGCGTGTATTCCCCCGCACGCACGCATGCGGATGTGGATGAAAGGGTCGGCGAAATTTGACCAAAAAAAAAGGAGGAAAGGAATTTGCGTGGGGGATGTAAAAATAACGGTGTAACATATGCACAAATATGAATGCTCGACCACAGATGAAAATTTTGAAATCGTAAAAAACGTTGATACGATATTTTGCTAATAATTTTTTTTAATTGGTATAGGCCAAGAAACGAAAAGCCGCGAGCTCGAAACGTGCAGTGCATCGACGAAATCCACTTCACAGGATAGATACGGAGTACCGAGAATCGATGCTGTTGGGTGTACACCGAGACTGTATATATACATATTACTGTCCCGAGCACGCGCGCCGCGCAAAGTGAAAGTTCTTTTGCGAGCTCTTCTTGTGAAACGGAGATAACTCCGTAACTCTCCTTTTGATTTTTTTTCTCTCTCTCTTTCGTTTTCTATCATTCCCTGTGTCTTTTCGCGCTCGCGCACACATACAAATGCACATACGATACTTTTATATATACTCGGGTGCGGAACCACGAATTGGAAATCGTCCCGATGATCGGTAAGAGCGGCAGCGGCTCTCCCTTTCTCCCGATATATTTGACGTATTCGATGTGTGCACACACGGGCGAATTCTTCCCCTTTTGCCCGGCTGCGAATTTATATTTCGGCTCCACGCGAGTGTAAATACGACTCTCACTTTCGACACTCGCTCTGCCTGTGTATATGTATGTGTTTGTGCGGGTGACGTCATGTTGTGTATACCCGCGAGCGCCGCGAGACAATCGGCCCATCGTTCCTCGCTCACGGATCGTGCGACTCTTTTTTAAAGGCTCTTTTTTTTCGCGAGCGTGCGAGACTCCGGGTTCCGTGGCAGCGACTCGCGCTGCGAGAGTCATCGCCCCCTCCGATATATATACACCTACATGTAAGCGTGTTGTATAAAACGCAACGAGTGTGAAACCTCATTGATCGGCTTCGCTGGCTTTAAACTTTCTTTCTTTCTCAGCAATTATAAAAAAGGACCGATATGTTAAGCCCTTCTTTTTACTCTGATAATTTCAATGTTATTTTACTCTTCGGAGGTAATTATAGATCGTGGCTGACAAATAATGAAAATAGTTTTTTCTATCGATCACACTTTTGCACGAATTTCATTTACTGTTTTCGTTGTACAGTATTTGCGTTGATTATGGACTCGTGTTTTTTAAATGCTAGTTTTGAAATCCTATTTATATTCGTTCTTAATATGAAATAAATGGCAGGTGTCAATCTAGTAGCTAAATATTGATTAGTTATTTAAAAAGTGTCTTTTCTAATATAGATTAAATCTTTTCTATGATACAAATGAAACAATTTTACGAATCTTTTGTAACAATATAAGGCTTATTTTTTGTAATAGACAAAACGACAATGATTGTTAACAGAGAAAATAAATACCAAATCGTTTAACTAGCATCAAACATAATTTTGTAGAACAGATTATTACCGATCATATATGCATTCGCTTTCGACATTAATAGGAATAATTGTTTTTTATTTGCCATACAGCACGCATTCGAGTGAATTTTCAAGTGGGAATTTCCAAAGGTCGTCTACTTTCTCTTGCGTTTGCTACGAGGCGTATACGTGAAGCCAATAGCTCGACTCCTTACATCGGATAAATTTTTCGCTATTCACCCGTGTATAAAAGTCAAATACATCGCGACAAGGTGTGCGCTGGTAAACGTAAGCGCGCGCGATACGCAGGAAATATATTCAGAGAGCTAAATCGTCGGTGTCGTCTTCGGCAAAAAAGTTCACGCCTATTGAAAAAGCAATTGAAAAAAAAAAACGTACGTAGCCGTTAAAGCCCGTAGTTGTTATTAAATGCAATCGAACCGCCCGATGTGGTCCACGAATGAAAGGCGCAACGAGAAACAACTAAATGAAAAAATGAAAAAATAAAAATAAAAAAGTTTCTCATCAAAAGAAAGAGGGAACTAATTATCACAAGTGCACACACTGCACATACGCTCGATTGCCCAGCGCGTCGCGCGCGAAACCAAAATCGAGCAAGAGAAAGAAAGCTCGAGCGCACACGGCCATGTCCAAACTCTTTGCCGCCGCCGTCGTCGTCGTAGGCTATATAATAACATTATACACGAGCGGATGCTGAAAAGACTGCCTGCGCGCGATGTCCGCGCTATGCTCTACACATATAGCTATATATACATTATATACAGTCGCACTTTCATTGGCCTACTTTCTCCGAGGCGCGCGAGGGGCTCTGGCCAGAAGAGTTTGCTGCCTCGCGAATATATATATACCGTGTGCGAACTCCATAAGCCCGTGAGTCGAGTAAACGGCAGCTCGGCTTCTGTATGTTTATTGTGTTCATAAGCGTAATGAAACGTCGATCGATCGAGTGATTTATAATTATACGAGAGACGAACCCTTGGGGGGGCCTCGAGCAAGGCCGCGCTTATTATATACACATATACGCAGCGACATAATAACGAGCGACTTTTTCTCGCTCGCGCGCGAGGAGAAACGATTGCCGCCGCCGCCGCCGACAAAATCGCGAGAGGCGCGAGGTTAATAGCCTGCTGCACTCTCCGCGCGGCGAGAGCTGCACTATACGCCGAGAGAGATATATCAAGGAACGCGTACTCGCGCCGCGCCGCAGACCGTTCTCGACTCGTCACAGCCTACTTGGCTGATAATGCCAGTTGCAAGTTGTATGCGATAGGTATATATAAAACTCACGCTGCCATGCAGAGAGAGAGAGAGAGAGAGAGAGAGAGAGAGAAAGATCGGTATGTTAAAAACAGGAAGAGGCGCCCGCGTAAATATTATAATATGTGCATAAATCAAGGCCGATTAATCGGCGTATAAGCCTTTCTTCCTGTTATATACACGCGGCAGCATCTATCATCGTATCGCAACGCCGATAATTCGCGTTATACGTATTACATCGATCGCCAATGAGACTCGGGATCTCTCGATCGCTTCCGATAAAGCCGCAGTCATACCTGCAGTTTTGTAATACCCGATCGGCTTCTGTACTATACGTCGTTGCTCGTGTCGTATCTCGAATTATGCGATACGGAATTTCTATTATTGCTCGGCGCGCGATGAATGTCGGCAGAATTTGAGAGAAAAAAATTGCCACCGAGATCTTACTTTATCGTTGTTGTTGTGATTATTAATAGCGATTCGGTGCTGCTCCTGCTGATGAATACGAGTGAATCGGTCGCAGTCGACTAATTGATCTATTTTTCCGCTGAATCTCGATCTTATTTGTCGCGATGTCATTATTAATATAGCTTCAAGGATATTATCAATAAATAATGCTCGAAGAAATATTAATATTATTTATGTGGCGTGCGAATCTCAACAGCTGCACTTCGAGTCTATCGTGTATAATAAGTATACGTATCGGTGAAAAGTTTCTCGATTATATTTATGAAGTACAATGATTCTAGTGAAGAATTTTAAATAGAACATATTATGCTGAGATATAAAAAGCTTTCACATCCATGAATTTGGTTCATTTTTTTAATTTTATCGTACCACGAGTTGCACTGCGATAATCGTAGGGATTGAAAATTATATGATTCAATTTTATTAGTTGAAAAGAATTTTAGAAAAAATCACTGAGAATATCTTGCTTGAAAAATTTCGTTTTCACCCTGATGCTCCCATACCTTCTAATGAAATTGTGACCACGCGGAGCGATTTCGAACTCTCGAATGCATCGGCCAGTCGGGCCGCTACACGTATATCCGAACGAATAGAGACGCGCTCGCACATATATCCGTCCGTCCGCGCGAGCGCGAAAACGCGTCCCGAGTGAAAGTGCAGCTGCCTAGCGACTATATAATATACACGAGCCTGGTATTTACATCGAATTCCCATTGAAAATCGTCGGTATAAATTATACATCGAGCACGAAATGATACGCTGGTACACGATACCGTATAGAACTCGTAATTTTGCTCCTCGTCAATGGTGCAAATATCCTGTCCTCTATTTTCTTTCCTTTTTATGCGATCGAGGAATAATTTAACGAACGATGGCTTCGATTTCCAGCCTGTCACGATAACACACCGCCCACGGTGTACCTGAATCGCAACTGGGTGCTGTCCGAGGACGACCCGGTGGGCAAGATCGTGGAGCGGGTCCGCGCCGAGGACAACGAGCAGGACGAGCTGAGCTACGGCCTCGAGCCGAGCCAGATGAATTATCAGGGCCTGCTGGAGCAACCGCACAATCGCAACAACGATAAACCGCTGCCCTTCGACATCAACAACACCACCGGCATCATCACCCTCAATCAGACTCTCAAAGGACGAGTACGTATCGAGTTAAATATTAATTTTTAAAGAGACGCGGTTGTGTTGAATTTCGATTATATTGCAGGCTGGTCAGCACATTTCGCTCTACGTCACAGTGTCGGATGGACAATTGACGGCCAAATCCGAGGTCTTTGTCAATATCGAAGGCCCTCGTGGAACGAATGCGGGACAAAATACGAGGTAAGGCTATTATTATTATCAACTCAATACAATTTAAATCAGTTGACATAGCAATAGTAAGAATCATACGACTCGTTGACGCAGATCGCCGTTTGCGAATCATCCGGCGAACGGGGGCATATTTCGGCCGCCTCTGCTGCGACTGCCCACGCTGACGATACCGCCCTCGCCCAATGTCGGCCAGATGATGGCCCAACCGCCCATGAGGACGCGTCTGCAGCCGGAGACGATCAAGACGAGTATCATCGAGCAGCAGCACGACCGGTATCTGCCTCAAAAGCTTCGTCCCCAGAGCAGCAGCAGCAGCAGCAGCAGGGAGAGCTCGGAGCAGGCCAGCGAGCAGCCACCGTTGGCCAAACAGGTGCCGATCGACGCCGACTCGAAGCCGACGATACTCGGGGCCAACAATCAGACGGTGGCCGCGGCGACCGAGGCGCCCGGCTCCAGGACCATGTCCTACGTGCTGCTGTCCGCCGTGATACTCGTCAGCGTCGTTCTGCTGCTCGGCGTCGCGCTCTACAAGCGTCACTTGCGAGCCACCAAAGAGCTGAGCGTGAGTCTCGATCGTTTCTTAAATCATAGCGGTAACTGATTTTTTTTATTTATCGATCGTGCCTTGTTTTCCGCAGAGCGAAAATTCGATCAACGTGTACACGGTTCCAAACAAGACCTTCGACTCGCGGGCCACGTTGCAGAACGACAAGTGGGAATTTCCGCGACACAGGCTAAAGGTTCGTATATACACTCGAATTTAATTGCGATCGATCGCGGTCATCGAAGAGCCATTTTCACGCGTCGTCGTTGCGCTTTGTCAGATACTGCACATCCTGGGCGAGGGCTGCTTCGGGCAGGTGTGGCGCTGCGAGGCCCAGGGCATCGAGGGCAGCAACATCCACGGGCTGCGCTGCGTGGCGGTCAAGACCCTGAAGGAGAACGCGACGGAGCGCGAGCGCCTCGATCTCGCCCAGGAGCTCAAGGTGATGAAGGGCCTCGAGCCCCATCCCAACGTGGTGCGGCTGCTGGGCTGCTGCACGGAGCGCGATCCCCTCTTCATCATCCTCGAGTACGTGAGCGGCGGCAAGCTGCAGAGCTTTCTGCGCGCCTCCAGAGAGGAACGCAACAGCGGCGGCAGTGGAGGAGGAGGCCTGACCTCGCACCAGCTCACCATGTTCGTGTACCAGGTGGCCAAGGGCATGGAGTATCTGGCCTCGAAGGGCATCATACATCGCGACCTGGCGGCGCGCAACGTGCTCATCGACGAGAAGCACGTCTGCAAGGTGGCCGATTTCGGGTTCGCGCGCGACGTCGCCGCCAATCAGATCTACGAGAGAAAGTCCGAGGGTCGCCTGCCGATCCGATGGATGGCACCCGAGAGCCTCTGGGACAACATATTCTCCGTCAAGTCCGACATCTGGAGCTTCGGCGTTCTCATCTGGGAGATCGTGACGCTCGGCTCGACGCCCTATCCGGGACTCGCCGCGCAAGAGGTTTTTATTGCTACGATAATGAATCGTGTAACGATTTAACTCTTAATTCGGTCTTTGATACGTGATATCATTTTTTGTTCACGCAGCTGATGAAACGAGTGAGGGAGGGCTATCGGCTGGAGAGGCCGGAGCACTGCAAGCGCGAGCTCTACAACATCATGTTTTACTGCTGGAACAAGGATCCCTCGCAGAGGCCCTCGTTCACGGAACTAGTCGCACGTACGGAAGAGCTGCTGCTCGACGAGACGGACTACATCGAGCTCGACAGATTCCCCGATCACTCCTACTACAACGTGCTCAATCTCAGTGGCGAGAAATTGTGAACGCGAGGCGCATAAAAAAAAAATTGTCCATCCAGCCCCATCGAGCTTTTCTCGAAGCGATTCGATGGACGAGTTGCGATCGATTCCGCGGATCGGTAAGCTCCGATGCGATTTTACAGTAAACTCGACCAAACCGTACGTACACCTAGGCCACTTGGAAATTATGCGTGAAAGCTTTGGAAAGATACGTTTCTTCTGTTTCATGATTGTCGCTGCAATACGAGAGAACTGTTCATACTAGAAACCAAATCGATACAATTGTATTTCATAAGAATTAGTTCGTTTTAGATGTAATAATTCTCATAAGTATTCCGATACGTATGTATTTTAAGAGAAATTTTAGTACTTAAATTGTAAATATGTATTATAAATCAAACAAGAAATCTAGCATATAGATTACTCGATTAACAATTCGTACAAAATAAACATTGTTTTTATCATGTGAAAATCCAATCGTAGTATCAGTTTATATGTTATAGTCGTACAGTGAAGACGCTGTTATTTTTATTTTTAATTTAACAAATGTATACTCTAATTTATTACTGTAATTGTAATAATTGTTATAAAAACAATATAAAAACATGACATTAAATAGGAAATTCTTTTAAAATTTTGAAACAAAAATAATAGTAAACTGTTAAATTTTGCAATTAAAGATAAAATCTTCGAATGACGTTTGAAAAAAAAATCGTTTTCATAATTATTTAGGTTTCAAAAATGAGAAGTTCCTCAATTTTATTAATTTTTTCAAAGAATAACTTTAATCAACATATGTAAGTATGTAGATTAAAAAACTCGAATAAAAATTATAAATTTTTTATAAACGTTATTTTTATTTTCACAAAAATGTATGTACAAATATTCAAGCTACCTTACTTGACATGTAAGCTACAACAGATCGAGTTCTGTTATGACTTATATATTATATGTCTAATAATTTTCAAATTCATATAATACAGTGAACAAAGTGTATAATACAAAAGATTCAATTTATATGATAGAAATTCAACTATTTCATAATTAATTTCGTCAAAATTTCAAGTGAAATCCACCTCCGACAGCCTGTCGACTGGCCGCACGCCCACCCATGTGGAAGCCAGACACATTGTCCTCCTCGTCTTCCTTATCTCCCTTTTGCTTAAATTCTTTTCCACCACTTGGTGGTTTAGGGGATTGATTGACAGTTCGCGCCCCAAATTCTGATTTGGCAGGCCAAGTAGGGAACATCGATGGGTCAATCGCCACAGGAGATTCGACAAAGTAACCATGTTTTAGAGCATCTTCTGCTGAAATTCGTTGCTCTGGATCGTATGTCAAAAACTTATTGAGTAAATCAATACCTAGATCCGTTAAAAGATTGAATCTTTGTCGAATGTTGTTAACTGGATATTGAGAAAAAGAAACTTTTTTCGTCATCGGTAATTTACTATAGCCTGGCCAAATTCGATCGTTCGGTGTTCCCAATTCTTTAAATACTCTGTTCAAAAGATCGAGCTCTGATTTTCCTGGGAAGAGAGCTTCCATTCTGAGCAATTCGGCAAAAATACACCCGACCGACCAAACGTCGATGGGTGTACTGTAAGTTTTACTACCCAGTAGTAATTCCGGAGCTCTGTACCATAACGTCACAACAATAGAAGTGTATTGTTTAAGAGGAGATCCGTATTCTCTGGCGAGGCCAAAATCGCCAACTTTTAAAATTCCTCTGTGACTTAACAGTAAGTTTGATGTTTTGAGATCTCTGTGAAGAATCCAATTATCGTGCATGTGTGCAACAGCTTGCAAAAGCTGTTGCATCAAGCACTTGACTTCTCCGGGAATGAATACCTGATTTTTAGATTTCATGGTTTCTATCAGAGATTTCAAATCGTGTTCGACGTAATCCATCACGATGAATATTTTGTCCATATTGCTGCCAACAACAATTTCTCGAACAGTGACAATATTAGGGTGTTGAGCTTTGAGGAGTGTATTAATTTCGCGTAAACTTGTGATTGGAAAGCCATCCTTTTCTTTCTCCATTTTCAATCTTTTCAATGCAACTATCTCTTTAGTTCGCCTGTCCTCAGCTCTATAGACAACTCCATAAGTACCTTCTGCTATACGATTTAAACATTTGTATTCTTCCACGCTGCGACATCCTTGAATAGCTGGCAAGTAAGGCGGTAGTTCAAGCATCAAGTCCATTTCGCTTTTTTCTGTGTCATTTTTAGATTCTTTAGTTGCACCATTTGTATCTGCATGTTCCAAAGGTGATTCATTATTTGAAACATCAGATTTGGCAAGTTGAATTTGGGATAGTGGACTTGGATTGTTATAATCTGAATTTGAGTCTTCATTCGAGCGCTTAGATGCATCAGAATCGTCTTCATCCATGCTTGAGCTAGAACTTGAATCAGATGAATCATCATCAGAATTATTTCCACTTTCTTGATCGGATGCAGCTGAAGTATGACTTTTTGGATTGCTCGCATTTGAATTAGGGGAGTGCAAACTTTCGTCTGATAATTCTACCACTGATGGATCTACAGACGATGAAACGTCGTCATGATTACGTTTTTCTCCTCTTTTCATCCGACGAGCTTCGAGTTCTAGCCGAGAACTTTCTTTTCGTCGAGCCATTTCTCGTTCAGCTTCGATGAGTCTGTGGCGACGCAGCTCTTGTTCGTTCATGTCCTTTGGATCTTTCATTGCAATGTGCTGCTCACTTATCATCACTTCCATGCGATCGAGATCTTCGTACAAAGAGGCTTCGGGTACTTGCTGATAACGGTGTTCTTTGGAGTGTTTTTCCCTGATACCATGTTTATGCTTCTTTTCTTCATCTCGAGATCGAACTCTCTCGTGCTTGTGGGACCTCTTTTGTCTTTTCTCTCGTACCGGAGATCTTTCTGCTTCGTCCATCATTTCAAGGCCTTGCTGATAAACTATATCCTGTTCGGTTAATCGTACATGGCGGCTACTTCGTTCTTCAATTAATCGAACTTCACGCCTGTCACGGGTGCTAACTACAGCTTCTTCCATAGCTGCCATCATTTTCAATTCCCGTCTTTCTATTTCTCGACGATCGGTGCTTCCGGACGATAATCGTAATTCATCACGACTGCGGGAAGACGAAGACACTTCCATTTTGTATTCATCTCGTCTCTCTCGTTTTTCTCGTTTATCAAGTAATCTAAAAAATAATTTTTCCATTATTTTTGCATTCTAATTTTTACATGAAGTACTTTATTCATTCTCGATAGACACAAAGATACAGAAAAAAGGTAGAAATAGTTTAACATAAAGAACATTTTTATCATGAAGAAAATGAAAATTTCAAGTAAATAATCATACATATTAATAGATTGATTGTCAAAAGTTGTTAAGATACTTTAGATTGAAAGAAAAGTATACAACAAGAGTTTGCTCATACATAAAAAAAAATCAATATTTCAATACCTGCTAGTTACTCTGCTCTGATTGGTGCTACTATCGCTATGACCAAAATTACTGTTTTTTTTATAAATGAAACATGAAAAAATAAAATTCAATGGATAAGTAAAATATCAAACGTATTAATATATATGATTTTACCATAACAAGCATTAGTCAGAAAATTCATTAAGTAGTATAAATCAAATATTATGAGACTCAAAAAGCTTACATAAATAGATTTTAATCGAATTAAATAAAATTCATATTTTATTTACCTTTCTCTGAGGTCTTCTAAAACACGGTCTCCTGTACTGCGTTCTTTTCTCTCATGGCGATAAGATTCTCGTTCTCTTTTGGAAGAGTCAGATCTTCTACTTGGTTGTTCCATTGTTTCTGAAAAATCAGAGTGCCTGCCAGAGTGATGTCTGCTGCTACTCGAGTATTTTTCTTTATGTCTGCTTTCATCTCTATAATCACGGTGTCGTTTTCTGTCTTTTTCATCTCTGCGTTCAGCACTTCGATCAGAATGTTTATCATGGCGGTGTGAAATAACTTTCCGATGCCTAATTACTGCTTGCGGTGGTTTTATGTCCAATGAATCAGCAGTATCTGCACCTTCTTCCTCGGAGTAACTGTAATACATAATTAAAAAATAGTAAAGGCACGATATACCTAAAACTTCAATAAAGTTTGGGAAATTACAAAAGATTTTTGACACTTGACTGCCTGAATTATAGTTGTCATTTTTATAACTCTAAGTATTACATTACTCATAATGCATTTGATTATGTGAAGATTTATCGTTTATCATGCATGCATAAGTTAAATAGATTTAAAACTTTTTTTACGAGATCTTTAATCTCTCATTAACAATTTTCAATATAGAAAAAACATTCAGTTTTTTTATCAAAATATGTCAGAAGTTCAGAAGTTAACTATCATTCTACAGCTAAACATAACCTTATGATTTACAAGTCATTAAATGCTAACATAAATTCATAAGCTTCCATAAAAATATACTTATTTAGTTTAAGTGATAGCATTTTCACAGGCTTATATTAGCTTTGTCAGGATAAAATAATCAAGCTAACAAAAATGTTTCAGTATGAAGAAATTGTACTCACGGGCTTCTACGAATCTCTCCTTCTTCCATTGCTCTATCGTCATTCATTCTTTTCAAGTTGTACTTATATCACAAAAATATATTATCAATGAACATTCATAAAAATTACTTCCCAAGCTCTGTAAACTCGAGCAGTGGTTTACAAACAGTACGACCGCCAAGTTTGTCCACAAACAAGCCACTGTATGCGCACTGAAATGTAACTGACGAAAATTATGCTTCGACCTCCGACGCGGCTCCACAGCGTCCGTTTTTGCATGTACGCACGTGGAAAGCGCGGCCTGTTCTGCAGTCGCGGCGGCACTATCGGAGTTTTTGGCACGATTGCCGATTGACGGCCTTCGGCATACCACAAGAGAAATAATTTATACCAATCATTTGGTCCGAAATTACAGCTCCTGTGACCTGTCCGATGCGTTTTATCATTGAAGTTTCAAATTCATCTTCATCCCTTTCCATCCCATGAAACTTTCAATATTGGCTTGTACAAAATATGAGAATACTTTTATGGTATTTTCGAGTATTTAAGATTACTTCTTTTCCTTTATCACGATCACAATTATGTAAACCTTTTCAGGAAAATGGTTGAAAATTAGACTTTTAAAATACTTTTTTTGTAAATTGATTTTTCTTTAAACAGAAAAATAATAAAATTATTAGGAGCGCCTCATAAGCGTTCAAAATTGAAGTTTCGTTCGAGTAGTTTAAAACAAGTTCATCCGTTATAATTCTGAGTGTAATGGAGTATTTACTGCTCTGCAATGATTATAAATTGTCTGATTGGAGTTAATTTTATTTGCATTGCACCTCACGCATATACCCGCAATGAATAAGGGCTCTCGAAGTTGTAACTTCAAAGCAGATGAGAATAAGAGTCAAATTCATTTTTGACAGCTTTTTAGGAGTCGCAGTTTGTGTCTTGTATCGCGCCACCTACATGCTTTCGTCTAAGTTAAAGAGCCGTCCGCTATGTGCACCAGTGCTAGTGCTGCTGCTGCTGCGTGGTTTTGTATTGTATGTAGTTTAGTTCGTGAATGTTTTTCAACTGTCATAAAAGTACATTCATAACATTTATATCAATTAATTTACTTACTCATCATGTCGATCGAAATTGAGTCCGCTGAGTGAGTATTCATTTGATTGATACGGTTTTTGTCAAGAAAAATTTTCTCTGTTTATTTGCAATTATTCATTTATATTTTAATTCACAGCGTCATTAGGTTAATCCAACAATATTTAAAAGAATCTAATCTTGTTAAAACGCTACAAACCATTCAGGTAATGAATTATCTATAAAAAAAAATAACAAACTTGAGATTCATTTTAATATAAAATAACAATAATATTTCAGGAAGAAACCGGTGTTTCACTTAATACTGTAGATAGTGTTGAGGGTTTTGTAGCAGATATTAATAATGGGCACTGGGACACTGTACTCAAAGCTATACAATCGCTTAAATTACCGGATAAGAAATTAATTGATTTATACGAACAGGTATGAATAAAAAAATGTTTTGTGAAAGTTAATGTAAAGTATAGCTTGGCTATAATAACATTTCTATTTTATGACATTTCAGGTGGTTTTAGAACTAATTGAATTACGAGAGTTGGGAGCTGCAAGAAGTTTGTTGAGACAAACTGAGCCAATGGTTATGATGAAACAACAAGAACCAGAGAGATATATTCATTTAGGTAATTATCTGAACCATCATTTTTTAATAATATAAAATAAAATTAACAATTTTATAAATTTTTCAGAAAACCTTCTTGCAAGATCTTACTTTGATCCAAGAGAAGCCTATCCAGATGGAAGTACCAAAGAAAAAAGAAGAGCTCAAATTGCTACATCATTGTCTGGTGAAGTTTCAGTAGTACCATCCAGTAGGTTGTTGGCATTATTGGGTCAAGCTTTAAAATGGCAACAGCATCAAGGACTTTTGCCACCTGGTACAACAATTGACTTGTTCAGAGGTAAAGCTGCTGTTAGAGAACAAGAAGATGAAAAATACCCTACACAATTATCAAAACAAATTAAGTTTGGTACCAAGTCCCATGTTGAATGTGCTAGATTTTCACCTGATGGTCAGTACTTAGTCACAGGATCAGTAGATGGATTTATAGAGGTTTGGAATTTTACTACTGGTAAAATTAGGAAAGATTTAAAGTACCAAGCTCAAGATAATTTCATGATGATGGAGCAAGCTGTTTTAGCCATGGCATTCAGTCGAGATAGTGAAATGTTGGCAGGAGGTGCTCAAGATGGAAAAATAAAAATTTGGAAAGTTCAAAGTGGACAAGTTCTTAGAAAATTTGAAAAAGCACATTCGAAAGGTGTGACATGTTTACAATTCAGTAGAGATAACAGTCAAATATTATCAGCATCGTTTGATGCAACAATTAGAATTCATGGTCTGAAATCTGGGAAAACTTTAAAAGAGTTCAGGGGACATTCTTCTTATGTAAATGAAGTTATATTTTCTTCAGATTCTCATAATATCATCAGGTGAGCTTACTCACATTAATGAAAGTTTTTGAAAGTTAATGAAAATTAATTTGATCTTATTAAAATGAACAACTATTTTTGCTTTTAGTGCTTCATCTGATGGTACTGTAAAAGTATGGAGTTTGAAAACAACAGAATGCACTGGTACTTTTAAATCCTTGGGAGCAGCTGATCTTACAGTCAACAGTGTACACACTTTACCAAAAAATCCAGAACATTATGTAGTTTGCAATCGTTCAAATACAGTTGTTATCATGAATATGCAAGGCCAAATTGTAAGGTCTTTTTCAAGTGGTAAACGAGAAGGAGGTGATTTTGTATGTGCAGTTGTATCACCCAAAGGAGAATATATTTATTGTGTTGGTGAAGATTTTGTATTGTACTGTTTCTCAACTACTTCTGGTAAATTGGAAAGAACATTAAATGTAAGTATGTGGTTAAGGATTATAGAACACGATGACAAACAAATGTTTATTCAATTTATTATTTTTAGATCCACGAAAAAGATGTGATTGGACTAGCTCATCATCCACATCAGAATTTATTGTGCTCTTACAGCGAAGATGGTCTTGTAAAATTATGGAAACCTTAAGTACAGTGAAAATGTTAATACATTTTCAACTTAGATTATAAATACAATATGATACATAGATTATAAATACAATAATTGAGCATGGTAGTAGTTTATCTAAATGAATTGAATTTCATTATTTAATCAGTCTCTTTTGATACAAACCGTTATAGAACACATAAAAAATGAAAGATTTTTAGTTGTGATTCAATTAATTTTTAGATTTGAATATAACGTGATTGAAGAATGACATGTGAACAAAAATAATGATTTATGACTGTAAAAAATTTATTTTAAAAATTTTTATAAATACATTGATTGTACAATTCAAGTGCAAAATATAGTTATTCATTGTGACATTATAAAAACAATTTCATTTTTTTTTTTAATAATTTGAAAATTATTTTTCAAATTCTATTTGTATTATAATTTTTGCTGTTTTATTTATATTAAAACTTATTCAATATATTTTCAAAAAGAAAATATAATAATTTTAACTAATATCAGCAGTATTTTCTTTTTCATTATTTCTAAAATCAATAGTTATGTCTTTCACAATGTCTTTATGCACTGTGTTCATGTGCTTAGTTAAATAATGTCTATCTCTAAATGTCTTTTTACATATTTGACACTCATGTTTTTTAAGTTTCAAATGAACAATTTTAACGTGCATAAGCATATTATCTTTTCGTCCAAAATTTTTGCCACAATACTCGCAAAAAAAGTTTTTCTTTTGCTCGTGCACAGTATCAATATGTACAAGCTTGTGAGCTTTTTGTTTAAAAGTCGCATGGCAAATTTCACATTCAAAGGCACGAATGTTTTTATGAGATCTATCAACATGTTTCGTTAAGTTGCTTTTATGACTAAACTTTTTTTTACATATTTCACACTCATGATTTTTAATTATAGTTCCATGAATGCCTTTGATGTGCTTTTTAAGGTAACCTTCAAAACCATAAACTTTATGACAAATAGGACACTCAAAATTTCTGAGACGTTTATGAACTGCATCAATATGGATTCTTAAGTAAGTCTTATGTCTGAATGTTTTTTTACATGTATCACACTCAACACCCTTAACTTGTTCATGTGTACCAGTAATGTGTAATCGTAAGTATGTTTTATTTGTAAAGGTTTTTTGACATATAGCACATTCAAAAACAGTATTTCGATGAACACTTCTAATATGCCTCAACAAGTTTTTTCTCTTATCAAATGTCTTTGAACATTCATTGCAGGAGTGTGTCATAAAACCAGGATGAACTGAATCATAATGAACTAATAGATTTGACTTTTTTGCAAAAAACTCATGACAAACTTCACATTCCACTTTTTTTCTCTCATGAACCCGGGTGACATGTCGCTTTAATCTATAGTTGTTTTGAAAAAGTTTGTTACATTGATTGCACTCAAACAAGCTTTTTTCATCCACTTCGTTTTGCTCTTCTATGCTTCTTATAGAATTAATTGCATTATCTTCAGTTATGATACTTTCATCTGCTTTCTCAGTTATACCTTCATTTTGTTTTTTATTCTTATGAACCTCTGTGACATGTCTCCTTAAGCTGCTGTTGCTTTTAAATAGTTTGTTACACTGATTGCATTGTAATGCACTTACTTTATCAACTTTATCTTGAGTCTCATTAATTGTTATAGACTTGATTACATTATCTTTAGTTATTATACTTTCATCCACTTTTTTAGCTTCATGAACCTGCATATGACGCTTCAAATTATAGGATCTATTAAACAGTTTGTTACATTGATCACATTGTAACACACTTTGTTCGGCAAAATTATCTTGTGATTCATTAAGTGATATAGAATTCATTGCATTATCTTCAGTAATTATACTTCCATCTGCTTCCTTAGTTATTATGCTTTCATCTTGTTCATTACTCTTATGAACCATAGCAATATGTCGTCTTAAATTATAGTTTCTATCAAATAACTTGTTACATTGATTGCATTGTAACACAGTTCTTTTAGGAGCTATACGTAGTGTATCATTAATAATTGTAGAATTAATCGCATTATCTGTTATTATACTTTTAACTAATTTTTTACTTTTATGAACTTCTCTGACATGACGCCTTAAGCAAGATTTATTTTTAAATAGTTTGTTACACTGATCGCACTGAACTACTCTTTTTTCATCAATTTTATGTTGAGGTTCTTTAATTATTATAAAATTAATCATGTTATTCTCAGTTATCACTCTTACATCTACTTTTTTAGCTTCATGAACCTGGGTAACATGTCGCCTTAAGTTATATTTTCTATCAAATAGTTTGTTACATTGATCACATTGTACCAAACTTTTTCCATGAACTTGTTGTTGTGGTTCATCAATTGCTAATGAATCAATTACATTTATCTCATTTCTTAAATGTTCATCTGCACTTTGAAGGCTATCGTTATTCAAACAATCAGTTTCATTTTCATTATAGCCGTCCATGTCATATTCCATTTTTACTGCAACAAACTCAGGCTCACAAATTTCAGTTTTAACTTTACAAATTTCCATTTTGACAACTGGTGTGACTGTGATGTTATGAACACTGATGAATTATTCAAATTTTCTTAATATTGTTCAACAATAAGTTTTCAAAAATGTTCAGCAATGCTGTTTGCCTTACAGTTAAATTAGTCAATAATTAAAATAATATAGCACAAATAGTCAAGATAGTTAAAATTGAAATAAATCTTTTGGTGTGTATAAAAGACATTCATTCACGTTAATTCACCCTATTGATTTTACTCCAATTTTCTTTTCATTTTACATCAACATACAAGAAACTCTGTGATAATGATCTTGAAAATGAGTTTTTAAATCCAATGCTGAAAGACAATTTTCTTCAGATACTTTTTTATATTCCATCAATCTCTATTTCTTGCTGAATGTTTAGGGAAATGCAAAATATATTGCGATTTTGAAATGGCACCCTTAACTTCGAGTCCATAAATATATTATATGTAAATAATTGCACTGCACTTAAAACCACTTTGAAAATCCGATAATCAGCAATAGATTGTTCGAGATTCATGAATTATATTCAAAAATCAGTAAGATATAACTTTGCAGATCCAAATTGGAGATGTTGATGTCAAGAAAATAATTATTAACTGTTTGGTTTGAATTTGCAACTTTTACTTAGTAGCTGACTGTAAATTTAAAAATAAAATACAGTGACCAATTCATTCTGCTGTTCACTGTTTGAGGGTCAAAAACTGAATACATGTAAACGGTTGAAACTCGAGTCAAAACATGAGGTTGGGTGCGCTGTGTGCTGTGTAGCACGATGCGTAGTTGACTTGACACTGCCGAATGCAATCAATTTCACCCCATGGACTTTGAATATTATATATTATATATTATAATTTTTAAATAGTAAAATCGAAGAGAAATATAAAAGCCATCATATCATACTAAACAGTCAATTTTTAACTGTGAGTTGTTTCAGTAAATTTTTTAATAATGGAGCGTTGCGATAATGATTCGTCGAGTTCAGAAGACGAGGTTAATTTAAATGCTCTACGAGAAGCAACAGATGACTCTTTTATAAAAAAATTTTATGAAGATAAAACAAAAAAAATAGAAATTACCCCTGAAGGTAAATTGACAATTTAATTTTTTATAGACGTATTTGATATTATGTACAAAGATGTTATAATAAGTATTATTTTAGGTATTGCTGATACAAAAAATACTGATAATTATGAAACGAATGGATTATCTCAGTCTTGCAAGGATTTTATTGCAAGAAAATTAATGCAACGTCTAGATTCGTGAGTGTTATAAAATTATTCAAGTACATACAATTTTAATATTATTTTCTTGAAAATTATTCATTTAATTTGCCAATTTACAGAAGCATTAGATTAAGCGATGATTTGGAAGTTGACTTGGAAGTAAAAAATAAGCCTAGTGATGATATTGGAATTAAACTTTTGAGTTCATCAAGCATAATTTTAACTGAATTTGAAGAAGAGACAGAATTACCAAGATTAAAAAAACCAATAATTATGGGCAGTTACTCTGAAAAATCGAATAAGAAAAAATGTAAAGAAGTAGCAATTGAATCTGATCAAATATTATCACAAGAAGAAACTAAATATTGGACTAATAGAAAACCTGGAAAAGTATTCAATTATAAAAAGCAAAAAAATGGGTTGCTTGTGGAAATATCAAATTAATTTACTTACCAATTAGAATATTCAAACTGTAAAAAATTGTAAATAGTTCTCCAATGTAGTACATAAACTTGTAAATAATCAAAATTTTACTAAATACATGGCTGTATATGGAATGAATTAACTTTTTATTTATTTAATCCTTATTACAATTAAGTTTTTTTAAAACTTTTTAAAAATACAAATGCAGAAATACAAGATTTTAAGATAATTTAAATATTAATCTTAAAAATCTATCTCAAATCATTATTTCAACAAAACATTCTCTATTAAAAAATGTAAAGAATTATATTTTATAAGAACACTGCTTAATGAATAAAAATGATGATCCTAACAAGCCTCTACATTGATTCCCCAGTGGCCAGTGCGAAGTTTCATTGCAAAATGTGCCATATGTGTAATAACGGGCTCGCACTCACAATACAGCTGACGTCTGACAAGTCGCAGAATTAATTTTAGTCGTTTCCGCTATTCGCAGTTCGCAGTTTGCTCTACGCAATCTGCGATCTTTCATTTTTACTGTTATTCTGTTGAAACTGTATAAATTTTATAATAAGATTCTCCACTTATTCCAGTTGGTCCACGCACAAGTGTAATAATACCTTTTCTCCAAATACGATAAATTAGAAAAGAATTGATTGCGAAAGAAAAATCGTAAAAATCGATTTTACTCTTCAATGCTAACAGTATAATTAAATACAAGTGTACCTTTTTTAATAAAAGTCGTTATAATCGACAAGTAAAATGTCCGATCCAGTTATAAATCCGGTAAGAATTGTAGCTCAAATTAATTATACTATTTAATTACTGTTTAAATTTGTAAGCTTATTTTATAAAATTTTGGACTTTTATAAAATAGGCGTGACGGGAAATAAATTACCCGATTGTTTGTTTTACTTGCTATTTCTATTTGATGAATCACTTGACTAAATGAGTAGAAACTTAATACATTTATAATAATTACTAACAATAACTTATTTTAATTAAGGAAATACCTTACGTTGGAGAGATCCATGGAGGCGTTGTTCCTGGTAAAATGGTCAAAGTTCAAGGAAAAGTTCCTCATGAAGCAACACGATTTGCTGTTAACTACCAATTAGGCCCAGGGTTGAATCCTCGTGATGACATTGCTCTTCATGTTTCACCTCGTTTTCCTCAGGGAATCATCACTAGAAATAGTATTGAGTCAATGCAATGGGGAGTTGAAGAAAATAATGGTCCCATGTGGATTCATCCTGGTCAGCCTTTTGAAATAATTATTCTTTGTGAATATTATTGTTACAAAATTGCTGTAAATGGCAGACATTTTGCGGAATTTACTCACAGATTGCCTTATGATAGAGTAACTCATTTAGTTATCGATGGTGACGTTGAGATAAATTCTATTTTTTACGAAACTATTAATGTTGGTCCAAGACCAACAGCTCCAGTACCTGATCTTCCAACAGTTGATGTTGGTCCACCACGTAAGCATTTATAGCAAATGGTAAAGTTTTAAAAAATTTCCTTGTATTAATATTACTCTTTCTTATTTAGCACCTGGTGGTCTTTATCCTACTCTCAATCCTCAAGCAAAGTTTGATCTACCTGATAAAGATTACGATCCACCTCATCCTCATAGACAACCAGCTGCACATCAAAAATCAGAAGATGCATTTGGCAGTACATTGGATAAAGTTGGTTTAGCTGTTGGAGGGCTTGTTGCTGCAGGAGGTGTTGCAGCTGCAATGCATGCAATTAATGTAAACAAAAACACTAAAATTTAAAAGTCAACAAATGTATTATAATAAAATTCTCTTTATTTTTGAAGAAACAAAAAAAGAAACATGACGGAGAAGCAGATCATGCCAAATCTACTTCCCCAGACTATGAAAGCGGATTGGGTGGACTAGGAGCATTAGGAGCAGCTTTAGCTAGTAGTTTGGCATCAAATTCTCATGCACAACAAGGCTACCCATCTGATTCTGGTAGTGGTGGAATGATAGGATCATTGCTTGGAGCATTAGGTGAAATATTAATTTTATCATCTTTCAAATATATTTTTTATATTAATTGATTTTTTCTGAAATTAAAATTTTTTGGTATAATTGTGAGTAGTAGTAAATACTTGATTACTCTATTCTAAAAAATTTTTTTATTAACATTCATTCAAATTATTGACTTGTTAAAAAATCACAATTGATCTTCATGATGAATTGCTCTTACGAATAAATTCCTTATATACTGTGCTAAATGACATCACAGTCTTACGATAAACGCTTCAAGAAATTGCTTCAAGGATAAATTCTTTATTAATATACGGTTTTCAATACTAAAAAATGTATGTTACATTAAATATTTATTAGATAAAGATTAGACATTTTAATTAATCATCTAAATTTCTTGGTTTTTGAAAATTTTTGCAAAATCATTATGTTAAAAATAATTTTAATTCAATTTATAAAATTTTGCTTCAACAATCATTTTTAGTGATAGTTTGATAATAATATTATTTTCTATGTCTTATTAAGTTTATTGAAATATATATTTCAATTTCCAAAAAATAGAATACCTATGTTTATGTCAACAGTAATAATTCAATTGAATAATAGTAGGAATATATTTTTATTACAGGTGGTGGTCAAGCTACAGCAAAACCTAATTATAGTCAACAAACATCAAATTCTGATCCTTTCGGTGGAGCTCTAGGATCCATACTTGGTGGTGTTCTTGGGGGTGGAAGTCATCAACAACAACCAACATACCAACCAACTGGTGGCTATCCTCAGAATCAACCATCACAAAGTGGTGGAGGTAATGATTTATTTGGTGATTTAAAAGGAGCTCTGCTTAAATCAGCCATGGATGATATTACAAAACATGTAAGTAAGCAAGTGAGAAATAGCATGAAGCAAAAAACTTTGAAAAAATATCCTAAAACTTCAGAACAAGCTTAATAAAATGCACTGCTATTTCTATCATCTTATTAATTATTAACTGCTTTAATTTTAAATCATGTAAAATATTTTTTTTTTGTAAATATAGTTGCTTTGCACGTTAAAAATATTTTGTATCTCCTATTGCCTAAAAATAAATATATATTTGTTCAGTAAAAAATACATTTTTTATTTGAATATATGAAAGCTTCACTCTCAACTATTCCAAGTCATTACTTTTCATTACCAAAACTCATAAAATTTATGCGAGCTTTTTTCAAAATTAATATTAATTAATATCTTTTATATTAATACCTATAATATAATTTTTTAAATAAAAATAAAATTTTATTATATCATTTATAATATATATATCAAGGTTAAAAATTAAAGAAGACGAAGTCTGTTGGAAATATAATTTTTAAAACTGTGCTACCAGATTTTCAAAAGTCAAAGGTATTATTTCGAAATATGAGTTTAAAATTGTTTGATAACAAAATATATAATGTGCCCTATAAATAGAGTGCTTAAATTATCTCCTAACAAAAGCATTTTTTAGAAAATTAAAAAATAATCTTACTGAAATGTTTAGTCATATAATAATCTTGGAATACATTTTTCTCTTTTGTAAAAATGAAAGAACCTTATCTTTTATAATTTTAAATTTTAAAAAATGATGCTACCATTGAAGAATGATTAATAATTATTGGCTTTTTACACAATAACAGTTTTATTTGATTTAATTTGATATAATTTATTCATGAAAATTTGAATTTCAATATTCACAGCTATACCCTAACAAACCTCAACCATCGGGAGCCGAAAATCCTCATCCGACGTATCACGGAAATATGTCACCACCATCACACGATCCTCCGAATCCTCATCGAGGCTCCGGCCCGGGAAAGCTTAGCGCTGCCGAAATATCGAAGGGGCTTGGTCTCAGCGATGATGAAAATTAACATCAACGATGATTTTTTCCGAATCATAAAACCGGAATATACTCGATATTGTTCTAAAGCTTATATATATTCCACAATATGCGTGCAATACCTTTAAGCGTCAGTGATATGATTAAAAAGTTGTGCAGTATTTGACATTATTTTAAAATATTATAAATCGCAATGTATTATTATGTTAAAAGCTTTTGGCTTGAAACAATGGTAGAATAGAAGATATTCACTTTTAAAATTAAAACTAAAAATTTTCTCAAATCTTCTAAATTTAACTTCTAAGTATATAGTCTTCTAAAAAACGTGACCTAACATGTCGATTTGCGCCCATATTTTTCTATTTAATTTTCCGATAATAATATTATATGCTTTTCGAGATTTCATTGTTATTAGTGTTATCTTGATTGTCCGCAGATGAAATATTAACGATAATGAATTACCTGTAAAGAAAAATTGAAGTTATGGTAATGGTGTAGATGGAGAATTTTGTGCCTGAGACAAGAACTTTTTCAAAGATATTGTAAATTCCAACAATGCTTTAAATGTTGAAAATTATATTTTTTAATAATCATACTCAAATTTAATAACTGTGAGAATAAATTCTTAAAATTGACTTTGAAGCTTTTGAACAATTTTTTTTAACAATAAAAACCCCATTAAATTTAGTTCTACAGTTTTTTCTGCAAACTTTTGCGACCGTAGTTGTAAATACTTATTGAAATCGTTCAAGCTTACTTTCGAAATGAAAGTAGATCTATATAATTTACTGAACTTCTACAGAAATTATTTTAAAATTACTATAAGCCAAGAAAATTATATTTTAGCTACGAAAGATTTGGATCTTATTTCTTTTATTTGTAAATCTTGATAATCATTTATCCATAAAAACATAAATTTATCATTTACTGACATTTTTACTAGGACCAGCTATGGCGATCGGTACACAGCGTCGCACGCGCACCACCTGAAAGTATCTTGTGCACCTGGTCGTTTTTGTGCGTGTGTTTGCGAGTGTGCGCGGCATCCAGCACGTGCGTAATAGTACATTACGTCACTCGTGCGCGAAGTGGTTGATTCTCGCACGAGTCTCAGTTTGTCGCCCGAGCGCAGCCAGTGATGCTGGTAATTATAGTTATCGCCGAGTGGTAGATACTCTACCGATCGGATACGAATTACAGCATCGGCGTAATTATTCACTCTTGAACACATAAAAAAATTGTTTACAATAGATATTTTAAATTACATCTTTACACGAATTTGAATTTTGGGTTCACTTTTGCGTTAGATAGTACAAGACAGAATTACCACTCACCTAGTGTACTGGCATGCCCAACACAAACAAAAGTTTATGTTTTTGATGAAAAATTTAGTTCTTTCAGAATCCGGAATCAAAATTGAACTAAAAGTTAAAGTTAAAAAATTGTTTTTTTTTAATGGACTTTCTATGTAATGATTAAAGGGTTCAAAATTTGAATTTCAATTTTTTTAATTATTAAAGGGCCCCTGTCTAGTACCATAAAACCCTGAAAATGTATGAACAGCGTCGTCTAAACTCTGCTGATTTTTACAGCAGTGAGCCCGATTGAAAAAGAAACCAAATTGGTTGTACATTTGTATATCTATATTTATAATCGCTATAGATATACTATTGATATCTCTCACCATAGTGTAATAGCGCCATATTGTTCTCTTTTAATATCAAGCGGGCTTGCTTACTGCTTGACTGTTGACAGTCGTGTCAGTTGGCTGCACTTCCCACGTCGGTAACGCAAATTTCTGACAACGCTGAATATAAACAACTTTATAACGTGACGTGATTGTTGATAATCATCGAGTGTTAAAGTTTGGATAACTTGAATCCGCGTGAAGATCTCAATTTTTACCTTCTGTTTCCAACATTTATATTTTATCTTCTCCGAGAACGACTTTATAAACTTTTAAAAGTAAGTGCAATCGAATATTTTAGCTTAGAGAAAAGCTTGCACTCTTGCAGCTTATAAGATAGATTTATTTCGTCAAAATTAACAATGAGAACTTTTTATGAATAAAACTTTACCCTAATAAGACTGCAAAATTGTATGATTAAAGTTTTTATACACTATTTTATACTCTTTCATAGATCATATCCTTTACAGTTTTATTAACATATAGAGGTTAGGAATCACTGGTTATCTTGGAATTACAAGTTCAATGTACCTATAATATATTTAATTATTTAAAAAAAACATAATTAATGATTATACTATCTATGACTTTTGTCAAGATGCCTAAAAGCGTGAAGGATGAGTCTGAACTCGAAGGAGATTCAATGTCACATGTTAGTAATGACAGTCCTGGTAATACATCTTCTTCAGAAAGTAGCGATGAACACAGTGATGGGGATTATGCTTCGGATATGGATGAAGAACTTTGTGAAAAAATCAAAGAAGAATGCTTAGAAAATATGGCCAATTTGGAAAAGCAATTCTATGCTCTTCGGGAAAAGTATGCAAATACTTTATGTAGTAATTAGTAGGAAGCTTGTATATATTGCATTGATAACATTACCATGTTTTATTTTTTAGACTTTATGAAGAAAAAATTCAACAAATTGATCAAAATCTAAAAGAAGTAAAAGAAGAAAAAGATGAACAATACCTCAAAGAAATAGCTGCTTTAAAAAAAGATATGGATGAAAAAGAAGGAGTAGCCGCAAGATTGAAAGCATTCAAATTAGAAAGTATCGAGCATGAGTTCCAATCAGAAGAATTAGCGGCTGGGCAAAATTATCGTAGTCAACAAGAACTATTATATGATGAAATGACTAGTGATATTTTAGAAAAAATTCGTAGACTTGAAGAAGACCGTAACAGTAGCGATATTCATACTGATTTATGGTTACATTCTAATGGTAAAAAGAAAAAGAAAAATACTCAAAAGAAGAAGGCTTTGTCTATATCTGGGCCTTATATCGTTTATATGCTTCAAGAATCAGAAATTCTTGAAGATTGGGCCCTAATTAAAAAGAGTTTAACAACTTATAAACCAGAAATCCAAATATAAATAATCCTATAGTAGAAATTTTGAAAAGATTTTGCTATTTTAATGTTAAATTTACTTTTGCAAGTTTAAAGTGGATTCATGTCAGTTTTTCATTTTTTTATAATTTATTCTCAACAAATTTTTTCAAGTAATCAAAATTCGATTATCGAAATAAGAGCACCAAAACCAGTCTATGAGTAAATATTTTGATCACATTTTTCGACATATATCCTACACTTATTTTGTGGCATTCTAGTTGTTAGTGTTTTTAAGTTCCCACAAATTTTCGTAGGCAATTTTTCATCAAATGTGTTTAAAATTTTATTTTTATTCTGGTTTAAGTATGCGTATGATAAACGCAAAAACTTTAATGATTTGATTATAAATCTGATTTTGTAAGTTACGTTTGGAAGAACTTGCTAACTATATTAGATTCAATAGCATTCATTCACAAGAGTATTTTACTGGATTTTTTCTTTCGATCTTGAAATATTATTGTTTGGTATTTTATCATATAATGCTAATAACAACCTTTGAATTTCTAATTTGAATAGAGAATTAAAGAAAAAAATTAAAGAGACTGGGTGTAACTGATTTTACAAATAATTTTACACCATTTAAAAAGTTAAGCGATTATTTTATAAAATTTAATATTTTGTAAAGTTTGTACATAAATCGATAGTAGTGTAATGTAATATAAAATTTTATGGAGAGTATTATTTTTAAAATGTTTTATAGGTAATATATCTTTATTGACTAAATCTGTATAGTTAAAATTAATAAACAATAAGTAGATTTATTATAAACATTTTGTTCATAGTACTTTAGACCTGATGTTCAAAGTAACAATATTTATTTCAATTATTACCATTAATATAGGTGTTTCCGAATCCGTGTAATAAATGAATATTTGTCGCTGTGAAAGGCAGCTAGTTTATTCATTTTTGTATTTAGTTTACTTATCAGTCAATTTACTTGCACCGCTTCCAATTATTCAACTAACTTCTGCTGCAAATCCCCTTGATATGTGCATTCTTCATTTACCGATCAGACGTAAAAGTTGGTAATATAGAACGAAGCGATAGATTTATAACGGAGCCAAGGTGTTTCAGTTAACTCAAAAGCTTCACCACTTGTGTTTTTTTTCATGTTCTTAATACGGATGTAAATTTTTCACATTTACTTCCGAATACGGCAGTTAAATTGATCACAATTTTTCTCGCTTAGTGAATCATTCTTGGGCTGGTCGATTTCTGTTGAAAAAACCCAGCTTGTAAAGTATAGAAGTCAAGGCAGCCAACGAAATGACTCCCATTAATACTGACGATACGATGATCCACAAAGCAACCGACTTATTTTCCGATCGCTTCGAAAAAATCGTGTTGACGTACTTCACTTTCGGTCGATCGGTCAGTTCGACGTTGGTACTGGGTACTGTTATGTGCGCGTGACCGTTGCTCGCGAAATTTATCGCTTCCACGTCGTCGTTCGTTTGCGCTTTAATGAAAAAAAAAGAGATGAAAATAAAAAATTTTTCTCGTCGATAAAATTTTTGAATGATATATGATAAGCCGTAAGCACTCACTGTTAGCGATTTGAGCTATTTCTACGTCGATTTTAACAATAATCCTGGCTACCGAAGTCCTCGTTTCGAAAGGGCCCAATTTGCAGGTATAATCCTCGCAGCCGATTAGACCGTCTGTACAATTGACGAACAGACTTTTTGCTTGTTCTTTGGCAACGATCGACGGATCGAGACCAACTCGGCTACCCGCTTCGGTGGCGTTCCGTTCGATCGTCGTCCGCTCGCAATCGTAGTAACGCTCGTCCAGATACACTTGGATCTGGCTGACTTTTGCGAACTCTATACCGCGCCAAGTTATTGGCACACTGATGTTAAAATCCATCTGATTTATCGGAGTGTTGCCGAAGGCCAAAATCTCGTAGAGGTGGACGAACGTAAATTTTTTCATTTTATCCTCGTCGAAATCTTGCTGAAAGTAGGAGTAAGTTTCCTCGTAGGACTGCCTGAAATTCAAGGACGATGGCATAATTAAGTTTTCCTGAAAAGGTGCAGGATAAAAATGACGAAGTCTCACCCGGTGAGGGCTACGTCGGCGTCTATCTCGAAATTAATCCTCAGAGTTTGATTATTATTGGATGGGTCGTACTCTTGGTTTTGAGTCGTCGAGAAGATTTCGATGTCTTTGAACTTGTCGGTACTGTTAACCGAGTCCATGTCCAACTCCAAATTCAGTTGTTTCTACTCGAAATCATCGGATCAATAGTGTCACTCTCATATACGTTTTATCGCCAGCAAGCCTCGCTCGTAAAAAATATACTCACGAAACGTCGCAAGGGATTGCCGAGATTGCAGAGCACGTGTATCGAGCCGTTCGGCCCGAGTCTCTGGCCGCACTCGGAGGGTATCCTGGCCAGCTCGATGGGCCGCGGGATCAGCAGCTGCACCTGAGCGCCGTAGGCCGGCTCCAGGGTGTTCTCCACGTTGAGCTGCAGCCGTACCTGGTCGCGCGAGCCCAGCACGTACTTGTCGCCCGGGGCCGCCAGGTCGCTGATCACCCGCAGCTTGAGATCGGACAGGCAGACGTTGTCGGCGCCGCAGTCGAGGACGTAGGCGAGCTTCAGACTGTCGGAGCTTCTCGAGGCGCGCCGATTGACGATCGGACAGTCGCCGATCGAGCAGGAGCGCTCGTCGATGCGCGCCTCGACGCCGATCTCGATCGGGTCGATCACGTTCTGATTGTCTTGCTGCAACGAGATCGTCAGGTTTAATCGAGGATACGAAGGAATTAGCGGTCGATAATGATTTGAGCAGACTTCTTACCCGCAAGCTAATCTTGAAAGGGGTACACTTGGTATCGCCAATCTTCAGTGTTTTCGAGATGGGGAATTTATTGAGAAAATTCCGGTCGCTCGCGGAGCCTCTTTTATGGTAGTCGTCGATCTTCAAATACTGAACGATCTCTGCACCAAAAAAATAAATCCCATTTTATAAATAAGCCTGTACATACAATACGAGCCAATGTTTTTTTCATTTTGTACGCACCCAGAGTATCGGGCACATTGACGCCGCTGTAGCGAGCGCAAACGGCCGCGACGAAGTGCGTCGAGTTCTGCAGCAGGGTGAAATTGTCGTTCTTGACCAGATGCACGTGGAGCGCGATCACGGGCCGAGCACGCAGTAGCACCGCCTGGTCGGACAGGTAGGCGCCCACGGCCAGGTCCAGGTAGCCGTCGCCGTCGACGTCCCTCGGCTGGCCGATCGACGCGCCGAATCCGCGCATCGCCGCCGACAGATCGGCCGCGGCTATGCGCTGCGACGCTCGCTGATCCAGTCCTCCGCGGGCGCCACCGTTGAAGATGTAGACGGCGCCGCGGCCCTGCTCCTCGTAGGGCGCGCCCACGGCCAGGTCGCCGTAGCCGTCGAGGTCGAGGTCGCCGAGGCAGGCCACGCTCGTGCCGAAGCGCGCCCAGGCCGCCTCGCCCGAGATCCGCTGCAGCTCGAAGTTAAACTGCGCGCGACAATTGTTACAATTTTCGTAATTCATCATCGATTATACACCCTTACGCGTTATTTTGCGATGTTATGACTCACTTGTCCTCGGGAAACGTAAGCGTAAACGCGTCCCTCGTCGCCGCCCTCGGCTCTGCTCCAGAGGGGCGCGCCGACGATCAGGTCGTCCCGCTGGTCGCCGTTGACGTCGCACGAGGCCAGGCTCGCCCCGAAGTACTCGCCCTGCTGCTCGCCCTTCCAGATCTGCTTCAGCTGCATCGGCTCTTGGCTGTAGCGTGGAAACGAGTAGACGAGCACCTTGCCCCGGAGCTCGGCGCCTCTGGGCGCTCCGGACGCGTAGTAACGTCGGCCGCGCTCGTAAAAACGACCCGACGTCATGGAGTAGCCTGTACCGAGCGCAACAAAAACGATCACCGTCGACCGATCAGCTTTCTCAATTTTATACGAGTTACGAACGAAATTACGTACCGAACAGATCGCTGAACTCGAGGTACCAGGAGTCGACGACGTCGAGCACGACGGCCGAGTCGAAGGGCCGGCGCTGAGCGCGCTCGTTGAGTATCACGGCCGAGCCGGTCCAGTGGAAGATGCCGGGCGCCCCGAGGGCCAGATCGCCGAGGTCCGGGCTCAGATGGGCCGAGAAGCCCGCCTGGCCCATGCCGTAGTAGAAGACGTTGCTGTCGCCGGCCTGGATCACCTCCATGTCGACGCCCGCCCCGGTGAGCAGCGGCACGTGGCGCCGGACCACGTCCAGCCGATTGAAGGCCTCCGGGCTGCTGATGTGCGCCGAGTAGCACATGCCGCTCATGTACCAGTACTCGTCCGCGAGCCTCGGTCTGTAGCTCTTTTTCCACCTGGGAGCGCAAACCTGCGTGCGTGATACATCGACGGATGATGATATGCATTGAAAATCGTCAGCAGTTAGGATATTCCATTTTATTATTGTGTCATGCTCGGCTTGCATATCGTATAAGAGAAAATACACCGACTTATTATTCATTCATTCGAGAAAAAAATCATGTGTCCCTCCTAGAAATGCTCAAAATAACGACGAAAATATGACGGTTTAAATGTTTTACAGTATAAGACCGTTAATTTGCTTGTGTTTAACGATTGGTCTGTTTCAACCATGTTAAAATTATTAAGCGCATTTTAAAGGGCCTGTAAGAGACAGTTAACAAGATAGTATTTCTTGTTAATAGTGTTTTTAAGTTGCCAAAAATTTTCGCAATCCATTTTTCATAAAATGCATCTAAAATGTCATTTTTATCCTAGTTTTAGTATCCTTATGATAAATTCAAAAACTTTAATAATTTGATTATAAATCTGATTTTGTAAGTTACGTTAGGAAGAACTTGCTAACTGTTAATAGATTCAATAGCATTCATTCGCAAAAGTATTTTACTGAATTTTTTCTTTCGATCTTGAAATATTATTGTATGGCATTTAATGCTATTAACAGTCTTTGAATTTATAATTCGAATAGAAAATTAAAAAAAAAATTAAAGAGACTGAGTATAACTGATTTTACCAACAATTTTACACCATTTAAAAATACGGGGTCAGCAAGTATAGACCTTATTGGCAAAATATTAGCCACGAAATATTGAGCATTTCTCACAGGAGTTATATGTAACTTTTCAACATGCAAACAAACTAAAAATTAAATACCATTGAATTACACACCACATACCCGACGTTTCCTGAAAAAATTGAGATCTTTTGCAATGGAACCGTTCAGGAATGTATGGGATTTCGAATGAAAATTGTATTTTAAAAAATGTATACTTTTTTGTATAAAAATTTATACTCCTGAAAAGTTCCATAGCGAATAATCCCAATTTTTTCTGTGAATTCGTGCCATAGAACCCAATGGTATTTTGCTTTTCAGTGGGCTTACATAATCAAAAAAATTACATACGATATTTAAATGACTGTTTTTCGCTCAATGAATATTAACGAGTCAGCGTATTTCCCCACACATATATATACGTACCGCGACTTTCGGAACGCTGCCGTTGGCGACGGCGATGTTGGCCCCGAGCCAGGCGTAGTCGCGCTTCGGCTCGAAATTATCGCCCAGCAGCGGCTGCTCCTGGTAGCCGGAGTCGAGCTGCCACTCGTCGCAACCCCGATCGTTCCTCGTCGCGTCGATCGGACACTTGTAGACGGCGCCGGGCTCGAGCACACGGCGCTCGCCCGTGACGCGCCGCGACGAATTGGCCCGGGGAGCCCCGACGAGGAGCAGCGCGTCCTTGCCGTCGCTCGAGCTCGCGTACAGACCCACGGAGAAGCCGAAGTAGCTCGCCCGACTCGACGAACCCTTGAACGGGTCGACAAACAGTCTTGCGCTCTCGACGTTCAGGTTGTAGGCTCTCGCGATCGCGAACGGCCCCGACAGCGTCAGGAGCACGAGAAGGACTAGCCGTCGATTCATCATTTTTGGTATTGTATATTCAGTCTTTCTTGAGTTGATTTCTGTTGCAAAAAATTAAACTTTTATCGTGCTGGGCAAAAATATTGCATGGAAATTTTATGAATTCGAACTAGGTTGTAGATACACAAATGAAAAGAAAACACCTTACTCGAAGTCTCGTTTCAATAATCCGGTTTTATCCAATAGAAAACGATATTGTTTACGCCAAGTTCTTTTTATAACGAATCAAACTATAATATGTAAATTAGAACACAATCCACGAGGCACGTCGCAACTTTTATCTTTTTAAAAAAATCTCTCAAGAATTATCCTTATATAGATATGAGTGAATCGATGAAAATCTGTGCACCTGAGAACTGCGTCCGGTAAAAACTGTATGAATCAAAAGTTTGGGAAGATTCTTACTCACGTCGGAAGTAATTACAAAGCGCGACGGATCTATGCGCGCGATTACTCATCCGCTACGCGATTTCCCACTTCACCACGGCGTTCGTCGCGTATATACGCACGAGGATCAGCTAACGACGCGCGAGAAACGATCATAGTGATCGGTCGAATCGAGTGTGTGGTTTTTTTTGCTTTTATTATTAGTGACGCGCTGCACTCGGTAATGTCATAAGCATATCGTGCACGTCGTCTCTCTATGGTAAATATAATATGTCATTTCTGCGAGTGTCGCTAAGTGTACTCGAATTCAATTAGCCAAAAAGCATTGAATATTCATCGTTGAATGCAACCCGAGAGGTTGTTGTTTCGTGCGCGCCGAGGGACTGGTATCGGTATGTACAAATACGCAGGTATACATCGTAGAAAGTTGTTTGACATACCTGCTGGATCGCCAACGTCGACGCACGATCTCAACTCGACATTATATATAGAAAGTTTGGTCAGCAAAATCCATCGAAAGCAAGCGCGATCGAATGCTCAATCGATGAGAATTCTTTTTAAACCGTGCCAGCCATGAGAACCCGTTCGATTTTGAAAAGCGCGATCGGAGTGAAAAATTTCCATTTTTCATTCGCAAGCGTCGCGCGCGATTGCCGAGTTATGGATTTGAAATTTTAACACATGTATATATCAATGATGTATCTCGGACGCTTGTTGTATTGCGGTGCAACGAGCACAATCTCACTGAAGCAGTTATCTCGCGCGCGGCTGCGAGGAGCGATGGGCCACGACTGAATCGGCGAATCAGCGACCCGCAGGAAGGATACGCGCACGCCTTGCAGTCTGAGAAAGAGAGAGAGAGAGAGAGAGAGAGAGAGAGATTATTATACGTGTGTACGCGGATACTCGCGGATGATATCACTACTCGATTTCTGTGTTGGAAGAGCAGAAATATATTTAAAGTGCAGCCGCGAGTAGCAAGTATATAATGATGAGGCTATCCGCGTGTGTAAAGTGTCATCGTTGTCAATGGTCATCGAGCGGTACTCGATTTTTATTTCATCTTTTCTCTCTCCTTTTCTTTTTTTTTCTCGTTGCTCAATATCAGATGTATATTATATATTGCGCTCGATCCGAAATGTTGGCGCGAATATTCATACAAGTAATGAGATTTTATTCGCTGATGCAGCTCGCTATAATAATGGACGTGGTGATTTTTTTTTCCTTACTTTTCAATGACTCATCGCAATTTGATTATGTGCCGAACATTTTTAAATGCACACTATCACGGGTGTGATAAAGCACGCCTGAATTTCAAATGATACCCATACTACATGTCGCAAATACTCGTCTTTTACAACGATATTTCCATTTCAAAATTGACCATAATAACATTACTCGAACTGGAATTCAAAAAGGATTATTGCAACGTGTAACTAAATGACTTTAATCGGTTCCGACCGGCGAAAAGTATATCACAAGTCGCCATTATACATGCAAATATTTTTTATGATTCCATAATAATTTCGTTGATAAAACATTAATAGTTAATTTTTAAAATAACATTTTTTCACAAGAGGCCAATACTATTTTTTATAAACAAAAAAATTATTTTGTATTTCATCAATTGATTATCAAAATCTATTTAAAACTTTGAGCCTGGCATAAATATGATTTTTAATTAAAAATTATACGTATATGGTTAAAATGAAGTTTAGTGCGTTGCAAATAAATACAGCTAGTCGATACTTTTGAAAGTAAATTTTATGCAAGTATTTCGTTGAATATAAGTTAGGTACAATCATTTTTTTGTCAATATAAACTTTTTCCTTTTGTGGTACTAAAGATTCATTAAGACTTTTATAAATTGCAATAATAAATAAATTAATACATATACTTATTAAGGTATGTTTTCAATGGTATTTTATCCTAAGTTAGTATTTTATGAGACAAAAGGAAGGTTTCAAAAATAAGTTCCACCTTATTGTATATGCATATGATTTATAAATATGTACATTTCAATTAAATTTACATAAATATACTTATATAATAAGTTTTCACTGATATACAAAAGATTTACCGAATAAAAATTTACAGATGGTACAGTTAAAAAATTAAAAATGAAAGCATAAAATCGATTGATTTACTACTCTACATTTCAAAAGTAGTTTGTAATTAACATACTTCTGATTTCGTATATATACAAAATGTCATCTTTTTAATTTCGAGTGCGGCGAAAAAAATATTGAGGTTCTAATGTTACAAATTGAGACTTTTCATCACAAAATTACCGTCCACGCCAACTACCGCCACGATTATTTTGATTTGATCTTTGTTGCGGTCTCCTATCTTGATACCCTGGATTATTTTGATGAGGTCTACGCGATTGATCATGTTGTTGAGAATAATTCCTTTGTTGGTTTCTAGGATGAGGTTGTTGGGACTGATATCCAGCTGTCATATAGCCACCAACCCATGGTCCAGCTGTGTTGGGATGATTTTGGTATCGATGTTGATTACCTTGGTACTGTTGCATACCTTGGTATTGTTGATTTCCTTGATAATGTTGTTGACTTCTATAATGCTGATTGTTCGACCCACCTCTAGAGCCTCTCTGCAATGACGTTGGTGGAGGAATGCTAGCATAAACTTGTTGTCGACCATTATTAACGTGATGCCTGTAAATTAATAAATTGAGTACTTTAGTTGCAAAATAATTACAATTAAACACATAAAGTGCATAAAAGACAAAGAGTAAAAATAAACATTTTCAATTAAATTTTCTGATCTAAAATTCTAGCATTTAAACGAATACTCAGAAAAAAATATTATAAACACAATTCACATAATATCATTTTTACTCTTATTATCATATTAATCTACTATTTACAGTGTATGAAATTCTTACCCTAACATTCTGTGACCAGCATTATCCAAAGATGCGCTTTTGTGAGAAGGAACAAAACCAGTTTGAGGTTTCCACTGATTGCGTCCTTGATTCATTTGGTCAAAGTCTTGAGGTTTCAAAACTCGGGGTGGCTCTTCCGCACCTTCAAGTTTCACAGCAGGAAATATGTAATCTATTCCATACTTAGGATCTCGGAACCTTGTACAAATGACCTGGTTATTCCTAACTGGCACTGTATTAATTGGGGATGGAAGAGTAGCCCCTATTCCAACACAATCTTTCGCTAATAACACTGTTCCTCGCATACCATCTATACAAACTTCAACTTCAGAATCATATCCAATATTATTATCATACAATGCTTTTAAAAATTTGTAGCCACCGTTACTAGGTCCTACATACAACCTATCATCTCCACGAACGTTCCTTTTTTCTGTAATGAAATATGATTGATTAAATATATTCATGTGCAATAAGACTTCAATAATAAATAAGTTCCACAATTATTTTTCTAACTTACTTTCTGCTTCTGTGAGTAAATCATAGTAAGGTTCTAATGCCTTGAATAGTCTTTGCTCTTCAACAAATGGTAAAAGTGCTACACCTTGCCAAGCAAACTTTTTACCATTCAAATCAATTTTAAAATCCTCTGGATAAAAATCTATAATTGGAGAAACAGGGTCAGACATTAATTTAGCCCATGGAGTGGGCACATGTTTACTACTAGCTGCTGGAAATACACCCATTAACTGCTCCAATGGTTTGAACTGGCATCAAAAAAAGACATAATTTAGTTAGCAAAATTGTACAAATTATCTAGGCTCATTCAATTTTTACACGCATTTGGTTAAAATACTTACAGGAACAGTATTTCTTTCAAATTCAGTTGATAATCCACTAATATTTACAAAATCACTAGCAAAAGGAGCATAATGATAAGGAAAATACCATTTCCATGACGGACAACCTTGATAATAGTAACGTAAGACCCAACATAAGCCTCTGACATAATGTAGAGCCACATTGTTTCTGCACAAAGAAAAAAAAACATTCAAAGTAAAACATAACTAATAATGGTTTAGTTGAGATTGAATTTTGAACTTGATAATGTACCTGAATGCAATGTTTTCTGGTAGTACATCGAATTTAGATTCATAATAGCGATCTTTGAATCCATCTTCCCATAATCTAACTTCATCATGAGCCTGATCATCCTCTTCCTCAGTTTCTTCATGTTTGCGCTTTCGTGGATTTGGTTCTACATCAAGCTTGGCTGAAGTTCCTTGTAGACTTTCTTGCACCGCTTGAGTATTATAATTTCTACCTTGAACACGCATCTGATATGCTTCATATCTAGCGTTAACAACAGGTGTCGTCGCTTGCCCCAAAGCCTATAAAATTAAATTTAAGTTGAATCATATATTTTTGATAAAATTTTCATTCCAAAGAAAAAAAGTATTAAAAAACGTACATACCTGTGGGGCAAATTGTCCAGTAGGGGTCCAGGCTGGTCTTTGGTTGCTGATGGATTGAGTTCTTCTTTTTTTAGCTTTTTCACGTGCTTTAAAAGACAATTCATTTTGTTGTCTTTTTTTGAAGATTTCATCTTCAACATTACCAAGATCATCTAAGATTAATTGAACTCTGTCCAGATTAACATCTCCACTATCAGTCAAAAATCCCTAAAACACATTGCAACATTTTATTTCCATATTCATTAGAATTTTTAAATTGTTAAAAAATGATGAAGTACATACCCCAGTTTTGTAGACAGTTTTTTTGTACAAATTAACCAGTCGATCGATTGCGTTCTCTCTTATTTCTAATGAAGGTAAGTGGGGTAAAAAGTCATTTCCTACAAAAAAACACATAAACACCCAATCATCTATGGCTCTTTCAAAGTCATATTCGAAAGGTAGTCCAGGCATTTGCAATTCTCGCTCTAAATATTCTCTAAGAACATTAAGTCTAACAAAAATAAATTGACATTCTGCAGCAAAAATTTTTTCCCCTTCTGGTTGATCAGGATCCGATCCTACACAATCTTGCATTTCATGACCTAACTGGCCACATATATCACAAGGTCTGGGTTTGTTTGGTTTAAATTCTTCCCGAATAATTGTGAAATTAGGTTCATGTGTTGCTAAACCCAACATTATCAAATCAGCATCAGCTCCACAAAGAACATGTTGAGTATTAGGATCATGGTCCGGTTGTGCTGAACAATATAACAATAAAATTAGTATAAAAATTTATGATGAATTTAAAAAGAAAAATAGAACATTTATTGTACCTCTTTGTTTTCTAATGTAGTCCATGATTTTGTGTTCTCCTTCTCCTGGAACATTGGCATCACTCAATATTACTTTAATATTTTTCCAACCGGGATCATTGTTCAATCGGTCATGTATGTAGTAATGCAAACAAGCTGATAATCTTGCCATGAAAGGTGTACCAGGAGTAATGCAATTACTATCAAAATGCTCTCCTTTCGGTTTCTCTGGAGGTAGCTGAACCCCTCGAGCTGACATTTCTGAACGCACTCTGGATACTTCCATTATTTTTTCAGTTGTTTCTTTAGATGCCCTGAAACGTCTGGATCGTTGTTGATTCATTTTAGCTCTTGGTGCAACACCATCAATAGCCATATACAATAATTTACGAGGTCTAACAATTCTAAACAGCCTGTCAATACATTCAAAAATGGCCTCCATCATCTCATCTTCATTTCTTGGTGCCGGTTTATCTTCAGGATGTGTACAAGGATGAATAATACCATTCATATCCAAATACAAATTATCGAACTCCACTCCATTCGGATTTGGTTCCAATGTATTGACCGGTACTTGCTCTCCATCAACATTACTGGGTTTACTCTCAATACAATCGATAATCACCGAAGGATACTTTCTGCTCAACCAACGAAAAAATGCAGGTACTCCCATTTTGATTAAGTTTTGGTGTTTGACACACGACACAAATGTTCTTGAACGAGTCGATAAATGATAATTTGATAATCACTCACACACACACACTCTCTTTTATACACAATTTGGGGTTAGGAACGAGTTAAGACGCCACACTACTTTGCAGTTCGCTGCAAGCAATGTTCGCTGCAGCTACAGTAGTGATTAGTGGGCAGTGGCCAGTGGGTAGACTGCTTGAGGCTCTGTATGCGCGCGACGGCGGCGGCAGCGATACGAACTAAACGGCGTTCCACGCACACGAGTTTTTTCGTAAACCTCCAGTTTACGCACTCTGCAAATTAACCGAAAAAATCTGGGAAATATTTAAAACATAATTTTTTGTAGCATTTTTTCTGCTGAATCCAGTGGTATAATTGGTTATGCCTTAAAAAATTATTTTCATTGATAAAAAATGAATTTTTGATTTTTTTGAATAACTGAAATATCGCAAAATCGGGCTTGAATAAAAAGACAAAGAGAAAAATAAACGAACGAAAAGAAGAAAAATAAACAAAAAAAATACATATTATGTTTCGAAATGTCGAATTTACTAATCGCAAGTGTTATTTTTCATGTCTTCGTACACGGTCAAGAACAATTTTTGCAATTACTCACTATTTTTTGTCAAATTCTTTTTATAAACTCTATCACACATTGCAAGGCTCTTTCAACTACATCATTGACACACTGTAATTTTTTACAGATTTCTTGGACACAAGAATAACTTTCACTCTCAGCCCATTCACTCGGGTCTAAATCCAAAAAGTCTTTGGGAATTCCCGTAATATCGAAAAAGTTCATACTCTTTTGCGTCACAAATCTGGATAATTTGACATTTTTCAAAGTAACATCTTCAATATTAGCTAGTAAATCTCTGTCCCCTTGATTGTACTTGGTCAAATTTTTTTTCATTTTTCTCTTTTCAATTGTATCAACATTGTCATTAAAAAATAAAATGCACACTAGCTCCTTCGAAAGATACCAGAGATGATTAGAAAATTTTGTTATAACTTTCTTCGATAATTCCTTGTCGTACTTTTTGAATTCATCTAAATTGCGTAATAATTTAATATCTGACGTAGCAGCTTCGAAAGGAAGACGAGTTTTGAACCAGTAAGGTACGTATATTAAAAGAATAAATACCGACATTTTACGTAGATTAATTTTTTATTCTTTTGTTAACGATAGCTGCTTTCTAAATAAATACATTTTGACAACGTAAATAGCTCGGGCCATCCACCGTGCCCTAGTAATTGCACCAGGTTTTTTTATGCATATGTTGCTGAATTGACCAAGAAAAATAAGAGACAATTGAAGTAATTCTTTGTAGTCCTTACGTGGCTGTTTATCGACACGTAAACATTGCTGAATAAAGCTTGAAACTTTTATCTTGATGTTTTTAAGATCGCCATGCATCTTATTGATTTTTCACTCCGAGGCTTTATCCAATTAAATGCACATTTTGACGGTGCTTATGAAAAAAATTTCTTTTTATTAAAGCGATAGTATAATAGATTTCTGTTATGAGAAATATCATTCTTTTTTTTTATCCAGACATTGCAGGATTTTTGAAAAGTTTTCAGAGAGAATCGAGAGATTTTTTTCCTACATTCAAAAGAAGAGAATTGCTTCACGAGAGAAATGTGTATTTAAGTAGTTTGTACGTGAGAAAAATATGTTTCTTTTAGTACGATAATTTTAAAAATTATGATATTTCAAACTATATCGGTAGTGGTAGATTCGGATCGGTTTGATCCGTGGAGAGCAAATTTTCTAAGAAAAGTGCAATAAAGAGAATCGTATTCTGTGAAAAAAGTAAGTCTTGAAAGAAATGTTTAGTTTTATAACTTATATACAGTATGTGTAGTACTGTTTATTAGACGGTTCAATAATTAATAGTATTCTTTATTTTCTTCATTTTTCGTATTTTAGCTCTAATCCCTTAAAATATCTTTTGACCGCCCACTGATTAAATATGTAATAATAATAATTTGATTGCAGTCAAAGTAAATCTGAACTTGAGAAGGAAATAGTAGCTATGAAACATAACAAATGAAATTTTTCATTTTTCGAGCGTAAACATCGTCAATAGAATTATGAGAAAGTAATAAATTAAAAAATAATATAATAATTAATGCCAGTGCCATATTTATTTGATAATAAAATCTATGTAACTTATGTATTTACATTCTAATTATTTTTCAATAATTGAAAGAATATAAAAAACACTTTCAATAACTATTTTATTAGAGTTTATTCACAAAATCACAAATAAAAAAGCCGATTTTTCAATATTTTTTTATTGACAAACTAAATACTAAAAACCGTTTCGATATTTCGATACACGAGAATTTCTGCTTTCTCCAGATATTTTTTGTTTATTTTTTTGCTTCATTGTAAACATTCATTGTTCTGCACAGAAGCAAGTGGCGGACACATTCACATTCTTCGCTAGTCGCACCTCTGCACTCTGCAGTGTAAGTTCAAACTTCATGAGTCTAAAACAGTATTGCATCGAGCTCTATTCGGTACACAAAGGCCAGGAAAAAAAAGAAAGCTTCCATGCACTGTAATGACTTCAACCACGTGCTCGTTCCTTAGTATTAACTAGCAAATTACCTCGCTCGCTCACGCTCGCTCGTATTAATTGTTCAGTGTTTAGGGAGATACTCGTCATTATTCATCGAGGTAGTTACTAGTTTTATTGACAGTTGATTCAAAATGTCCTTGATTTATAACGAAGAATACGCAACTCGCCTACGAAAATTGAAAAATCGTCTGGAAAGTGTAAAAAAAGGCGACGCTCGGCTTAAAGATTTTTGCCGTGTATTTAAACGTTGGTCTAAACGGAGAGACGACGAATTAATGGACAGAATCGTTATAGATTTGATGAACTGTGAAATTCTATTCCCGAGTGTTGAAGATAAAAAATATTTCTTCAAATTTGCTTTGAGACGACGCAATTTGAAAATGATAAAACTTCTCGAGGCGAGCGGACTCGATATACGTGAGGTCATATTCAAAGATGGAAAGTCTGCTCTTCATTATTTGGCGGAGGTAATATATGGGAAAAATGATAAAAATATATTGGACCCAAAATCAAAAACTATAAAAGTCATGGAATATTTTTTGGAAAATTCACAACTAAATTATTGTGACAATCATGGTTACACATATTTCCACGCGGCCTGCATGTCCGGTAATATGGCGGCAGTAAATCTTCTTTTGAGCCAGGGTATAGACGTCAACCTCGACTCATACAAGTATTCAGCGTTGCATATTGCAGCCCAGTACCGTCGCGAAGAAGTAGTAGAGATTTTATTGAGACACGGGGCCGATCCAAACAAACAGGACGTGGAGAAGTCGACACCTCTACACGCACTCGCGAGGCTGTGTCTATGCCAGTGCACCAATGCCATCAGATTTTGCGATTACCGACGACCAGTTGACAAAATAGTTCAAATTCTAATTGAATATGGAGCGAACATCGAAGCACGAAATAGTGATGGTAATAGTCCTTTGGATTTGGCCGTATCTTGTTTTGATGTGCAGCTTGTCAAGTCGCTTCTGGAACACGGCGCGAGTCTTGACAATTTGAACGAAGATATAATTTTCAGCAGAAATTTCACATTACTTGAAGTCAAAAATTATCCTCTCACTCTGAACATCATCGAGATGGTACAATTATTGCAGTCGGTGGGCTTCAAGATGAGCTTTGAAACCAGACTTAGGATGTTAAAATGTTGGATAAAAGTTCGAGGAAACGACACTGACCATCTGATCCCCGAATACACTGGTAAGTAACTTTATTTTACCTAAACAATAATTTCAAGTTACTAATGATTATTTTTCTTTTTGATTATTTATTTAGGACCCACGAAAGACAAGACGCCCATCATCCCGACTGTGTATAATTTATTTATTTATGTTGAGCTTCGCCTTTACCAAAGTCAAGAATATGATGATTTCTTTGTAAAACTAAGCGACAAAATAAGATTAATACTCCTACCTTGTTTCTGGCAAGAATTTCAAATTCCTATAAAAATCATCGATGTTTGGAAAAAAGAAGCTGAGAAAGTCAAAAATAATATGTTAAACGACGACGTCTCGCTGTACCAGCTTTGCCAAATGAACTATAGTGACGGTTACTCAATGATTAAAAATATGAAGAATTGGCGTGTCCCAGCAATGGATGATTTATCACATACTTGGATCAACATTATTGTAAAAAGACACTTAGCTAACATTTTCATAAGACTACAGTTGGAATTGATGGTATCCGATCTGTTCATGAGTGATCACTGTGAATTAAATTTACCTTATGTCGTATGCCGCCGAGTTGCCGAATGTATGAGTTACGAGGAATTATTGCGATTGTGCAAAGAGACAAATGATAAAGAAAAATAATCCTCGGGATACATTCCTACTTTAATTATTTAGAATAATACTTATAATAAAATGTTTTTAGTGCTCACAATATTTGAGCTCAAGGAAGTATTTTTTTATCTTTAAGTAAGCAAGTAAATGAATCTCTGCAAGAGATTTTGCAATGCTTACGATTTGTAAACGGTCGTGTCAGAAGAGATCTGACTATTTATCAGTCAATCCAATTTAATGCCAAAACGATTGGTAATTTGGTGTATATATTAGTTATGTTCAAGACTCGATTTAACTCTTTTCAATAAAAGAATTAAAAACTAAAATTTATTACCGTGTCTATTAGAAATCATTTCCCACGTAGATCCACAAGTCCTTACCATAACGCAGCATATATCGACCAGGCTTTATTAACATGTCTCTATCAATCCCTCTCCTGATAAGATTATACTCCCTAGGTTAAGAAGGAAAACTCATCAAAAAAATATATTGTATCCCATCAATTAATTTTCGACAAAAGAAAATGGTTGTTTTTGTCATAAAAGTAGACATAAACCTTGCAAATTACCATGAATGATACAGCAATGAATTGCAGCTGAACCTTCTTTTCCTTTTAAATCAACTCCAGCTTTATAATTTCGTTCTATACATACATATGTTGTTCTCGGAGTAAGTTAAATCTGCTTCATGAATGCCTAATATAGACCAAATTCATTGAAGTTTATATGTAATTTAAAATCTAATTGTAATATTTCTGAAATTTAATATAAATGTCACTTTTTGATCTTAAAAAAATTCTATTCACTTCATTATTAACTCTACTGGTTTTTTTATTTGCAAAATATTAACATACTTTGCATTAATATATTAATATATTTTGCGAAGAATCTTCAATATTTTTCCCAATTTAATTATTATTATTATTAGTTCTGATTCGTTCACTAGTAAATGTGCATTTGTGAAATTTTATCACAAATTTCAGGTACCTTTCACCTATTTGATCTGTTGTGTTAAATATTTATGTTTTATATTTTGTAACTTATATCTATTTTTCTGTTAAATTAACAAAATTTTATAGTAATTGTTGATAGTCTTCAACAATTTCATGCATTTTTCTGCTTCGTACGTAAAACAACATTCTCGTTTGGGTTTAAAAGGAAATGTTTATAAAGCTAGTTTTAATCTATTTATTCAAATTTACTTCTGAAGCTTCATCATTTGAAAAAAAACATCTAAATAAATGTATAATTGTAACTCATCTACTCGCGAGTAAATACGAAATTTGAATGAAGCGCCGCAGTATCTCGAGACGATCTATCATTATTCCTTAGTCCATGTCTCGTGCGCCGAGTAGTGGATTTTTCACAGTATGTAGAATAGATCAGATGGGATGCCGGTGACTGGTACGATTTCTGCCGATATTTTATAGAAGCACACTAGCAAACAATGAGCGCCAAATTCAAATTCGTCTATAGATGTAATTTAAAATATCTATTGTAAAATTTTTGTTGGCATTTAGCAAATCAAAAATATAATTGCTAAAAAAAATAGTGGATTGGTAATAATATTTTTAATTTAACTGGAACCGGGCTTGACTTTGAAGTCGTTTTTCGGCAAGAAAAATTGTCTTTCCGGAATATATAAAGTCATTTGAATCAAGAGCAGGCAAAAATCTATCGATGAGCAAGGGTAAAATATTTTTCCAAAATCAGTGGTAGTTTTGTCAGCGAGCTAGCAAAGTAGCAATCGGTGCAAGACGTCGCGCGCGCACCACCCAAATGTATCTTTTAGTACCTATAGTGGCCCCTGGTCATTTTTGTGCGTGGGCGTGCGAGTGTGCGCGGAATCCTGCACGTGCGTCAAAATATCATCTCGAGCCCATGTGCTTTCGAAAAGGCGCCTGTAGTAATTATTTAGTCATCGATAGTGATCAGTGCGAAGACGCAGATAATCTCTACGGATTGGACACGACTTTCTGCAGTGGAGTAATTATTCATAAATAATTCTCTTGGTCAAGTCATCCGGTACCTAATTGCATTAGCTCGTTAATTTGCCACGTTAAACGCGTAAGTCGTTCTTAGATATTGGAGCTGCTAACGTGCAAATTCTAGCTGTAAGATTATAAAAATCTAAAACGGGACTTTAACAAAAATCCGTTTCCGTGACTGCTTTAAGCGAAGCAGCCACAGTGCGCATCGATAGTGTCAACTGTGAATTGTAAAAATTGATGAAATAACAGACGCGGGCCTTACTTGAACTTGAGTGTCTTTAAAAGTAAAATGTCGAACGACGAAAAAGTCTTAACAGGCTATTCTCAAATTGAAAAAACGGAGTTTACTTTCAAATGGGTAATAAGCGACTGCCTATTGATTTTAGAAAGCGGAAACGGTAGTATAAAGTCGCCGATATTTCACAAAAACGGTGATGATGATACAAAGTTTCGATTGCAACTCCAAAAATGCTCATATAGTAGTAATTCTAATCAATGCCTTGAATATAGACATTTGTCTCTATTGAACATACTCAGGTTTACAAATTCGTTATGCCAGTACAAGATAGCGATACTCAAGGATGACCAAGTTATTGAAACTTATACGGAAGATCCATATTCCACGAGTTGCCGTGAAAAAGAGATTTTCAATATTACTATAGATGATTTTAAAAAATTCATTTCATCTACAGGTACCATAGTTATTCGTTGCGAATTGAAAATTTCCGCGGGATCTCAAAAGAACTCGCTGAACTATGAATCTGTGGATGTGAATGAAGTGCCGGAGACAAAATTAAAATTCGACTGGATACTTCTTGACGAAAATTTGAGTGATATTAAACTAAAAACTGCATGTGGAAAGAAAATTCCGGCGCACAGAATCATGCTCGCTACTGCCAGTCCTGTATTCAGAGCCATGTTCAACCACGATATGTTGGAAAACAAAAGTGAAATAGTTGATATGATCGATGTCAGTCATGACTCTGCAGTTGAGATGCTGCGATACATCTACACAAGCACTGTCGAGACTCAAGAATTTTGTAAGACCGCTGAACTTTTGGTGGCTGCTGACAAGTATCAACTTGAAGAGTTGAAAAATAAGTGCGAACAAATATTGATCTCCAATATATCTGCTAAAAATGCGATAGAGGCTCTTACCATAGCTGTAAATTACAATTTGAGTTGTTTGAAAAAAAATGCAATCAATTTAATTAAGCGTATAATTAATGGACCTACCGTTTCTGATGATTTCGGTACTATGATTCTTAAAATGGCACAATTTTTATCGGAATAATCTGAAAAATTGATTGAGTACTTCATAAATTTTACATTTATTTACATTTTTTTATTGCGTATAAAAATATACCGCTGATCCTTAGAAAATCATTAGACTGACAGTTAAATTTAATAAGTTGATTTGCAACGATTCAAATTACGATACGCTTTTTTACTTGGTAACTCATTGCGGCGAATTTTTACATGCACACAACTAATTATACATGTTTTTTAAAAACTATTTTTTACGAATAAAGGACTGTAATAATCCATTTATCACGTTGTTTTTTTCAATTTTATGTTTATTAAGATAGTAAAAACGTTTGTCCTCGAATATCAAATTATACATTCATTATCAGAAAATGTTTCATGATTTATTATTGAAAAAGGAGATTTATTATTGAGAAAGAAGAGGAGAAAAAGGAGGATTTAGACCTTTATATTAGTTTTATTATTCAATATGTGCTCAAAAACATCTATAAATTTTCTTATTTTTTGCTTTTTATTACATCCGTTGGTGTAAAAACTTTTTTATAACTCTAATCAAAATTCCAAATTCCTGAATCTTGCGCACAGTGCCAAAATGCTAAAATAGCAAAAATAAGCTATTTTCAGATGCAAAGGTCTAATCTAAAACCTTTTTCCACATTTTTCAGGGCTCAAAGATGTCAATTTCATGTTGAAAATGTAAATTGATATTGAACTGTGATTTATACAACAAAAAAATGCCAAAGAAAAGTGAATCGGTGCATGACTCCCCTTGAAGTATTATTTGTAGGTCTTTTGATCGAACCTTTAATTTTTCTCTTTTCAAGACAAGTTTATTTAGCAATCAATTACGATTGATTGATTGAAGCATCAAGACTATTGATTGCAGATGTACAAACATGTAAGTAAACGCGCTGATTATATGTTCGATTTTTAAGCAGCCCCGATGACCATAACAGCTTATGTACATAATTGAAATCATCTCAGCAGTTGTATAACCTGAGCCTCACTAAAAATCAACGTAGATATGTCAATTTTTTTTAAATTTTACTAGGCAGTTCTAATCTACAAAGCAGCCCAAAATGTTCAAACAGTAACAAAAACCAAAAAGTTTAATACCTTTACCTTTGAAAATGACACTTTAGTTGGAGAATATTCCTTCATAATTTTATACGCAAGTCATATAATACTGCATCTAGAAACTGCCATATATTATTAAAAAATGAATTGAGATTTAAAAAGTTCTTTGGTTAAAAATAGCTTTATTTAACATTATACATAAAAACGAAGTTACTTATTTTTTATAAGCATATATTCAGTTAAGTTCAATTAACAAAAACATGAATTAAAAGAACATTTCTTCATTTATGTAATTTTAATTTTTCATAGACCCATAAGTTGATTAATACATTCTCAAAATTATTACTTCAACTTTTTATTTTTACTTCGCAACACTCATACTTGTGGCGTATTCATAAGGACTAAAATTGAAAAAAATGCTGAATTTTTTCCAAATTTTCGCATATGCTTTTTTTAATATTGTTACATTATTCATAAAATCAGTCTTGAACAAAAAGTATATCCATACATAGAAAATTTATATTTTTTTTGATAATCAATATTCCACGAGTTTCGACTTCGTGAATTAGGAAATAATTTTTAAATATTGAGTTTGAAAGAGCAAACAATTCATTGGTAAGTATTTACAATAGGTACTGAAACTAAATTAATTTTGTGTAGTAGTACCATATTTTTATAGAAATATTTAAAACAAAGTAATTGAATATTATAATATTATAATATTATAATAGTGTTATAATATCATAGTATTATAGTATTATAATATTGTGATATTAATATTATAAGTAATTCAGTTTATTTAAATCATAATTATCTCGTACGTTTTCAGAGTATAATTTCATAAACCACTCATTCTTAATAAATTTTAACCATTCTAGATTCACATTAGATGTACTGCAGCAAACGCACATTTGAAAATCAAGCGCGTTTACACATAACTATAATAGATATCATGTTATAAAAATATATTTAACTCGAGGAATCACAGATTCAGTTTCCGAGTTCTCAACGCGTCAATCCTCCGACGATTCGCTACTATAGCTTATTTTGAATCGCTGTTTTCTGTACACGCGATGATTCCTAGTCGACTTGTTTGGAACAATTTTAATATTTTCTGATCTAGGGCTTGTAGTAGTTGTTTGTACCTCAGTAGTGGAAACGCTTGATGTTATACCGCTGTCAGAACTTTGTGCCAAAGAAGTTTGACCAAAATTTCCCGTTGTTGACGCAGCATTTGAATGCTCAGTATCATTATTTTCAAGCTTTTGACGTTTATAATTGATACGACGAGCGGTAACTGTTTTCCGAGTTATTTTACGATTTTGAGGTGACAAAGTGTTGCTCGGACTCTCTTCAGAATCATAATTCGAACTTAATGCTTCTCGTCTTTTATTATTTAAAGATTTTGTACCAGATAAAACCAGACTTTCGTCTGAACTACTGAGGCTTGCTGAACGAGATTTTATTTGCAAATATTTTTTAGTAAAACTGGATGATACAACTCCACTGCTGGTGCTCGGTTGCGATGCATCAACGAACTGTAATACAAAAATAAAAAATAATTTACAACTTTTTTTAAATTTACCACATAGGGTGTAACTTAGAACTTACCAAAGTAGGAGAAGGAGTATTGTGGGTTTCATCTTCACTATCAGTTTCGCTGTCAATTCTTAAAGTTCGTTTGTTCCCTCTTTTTCCTTTTAACTCTCGTGTTTTTATTCTATCTTTAACAGACTGCATTTTACTTTTTTGCATTATGCTTTTCCTTTCAACCTTTCTTGGTTTTGATCTGTTTAAAATTGGGGATGATACGGATTTCGGAGCAAACACTGTTGGCGACCCTGCAGTTTTATCATCCTTTATTGTCTTCGGAGAAGCTTCCATGGCAGCGAGTTGCATGAGCTTTCGGCGTCGATTAGCAATTAATTGAGTAATTCGGTTTGGAGTCTCCCATGATTCTTCAGTTTCATCTTTCTGCTCTTCTGATTCGTTGGCAGCTGAATCGATATAAGCACGAACATGGAGGTGCGTGCTCGAAGAAGGCGATGATGAAGATAATTCTAAAACGATCAAATCTTTTTTTAATGTTAGTAATTTTTACATGTAAGGTTAAATTATTTTCATTTTTATAAATTCAATTATCAAAGCAAAGCTATTACCCTCTGAACTCGAACGATCGCTAAAATCGTTATCGTTTTCTATTTCGGTGGAGCTGCTTGACGACGATGATTCTCGGGAACTCCAACTCTCAATTTCTCGTTGAACGAGTGAGTCGAAGAAGGCCATCATTCTTTGATCTTCGTCAGTACATTCATGGCTGTAATCATGAGTCATCACATGACCAGTTCTCAAAATTAAACCAATATATTCGTCATGCGAATAAACTTTGCGTTGTGTTTCATTTTTATCATCTTCTACCTGTATAAAATCAAGAAAAAATCATGTATTATCTGCTTGTAGTAAATTAATCTATCCGTTTATTAATTTATGCTTACTTTTAGACCTCCTGAACATTTTTCACCTAGTGGAAATGGTGACCATAATTTTACTATTTTTTCAACTCCAGATGAAGCAAGAACACAACTATTTTTATTGTATCGAACATGATTAACTATTGACCTATGTCCTCGTAATATGATATGTGCAGAATCAACCCATTTTTCTGTATCATCAGTTGGGATTTTCCACATATATAAATTAAAATCATCCGATCCTATTATTGAAAATTTTAATTTTTAATATTAAATTTTTAGTTAACCGATTGCTTTAACTTTTTCAACTATATAATTATTTTGTACCTGATAGTATATATTCATCGTTAGTTCCTGCAAAACAACAGGATTTCATGGTGCAGCTATTATAATATCCTGCTTGGTCAAATTGACACAAATGCTGTGGAGAATTTACTGAGTAAACTGCTGGAGGTAATCGTCTTCGGATTGCCAATAATTTAGTACCAGCATCGTTGAATCCAATAAACATACCATTTTGTGATGGACCTTGATTTTTTTCATTTCCATATTTTACTAGTGGCCTAAAATAATAACAAAAACAATTCTAAGAATATGCATTAAATTCTTGAGAAAAAATATCCATTCAACTTACGTTAATGGTCTTCTTACATCCCATAAACTGCACCCTTCCTTTGAATTGGCAGTCACTAAAGTTCTTGGATCAACAGGATTAAACATTACAGAATGAAAAGGACTTTCATATTGCGCCAAGCAAAAAAAGGATTCAGGAGAACTAGCGTCTCCTCTTGTATCGTAAACCAAAACTCTTCCATCATCACAGGCACTAGCATATATGCTATCACTATGAGGATGTGAGGATAAGCCGTAAATAGCTTTTTCATGAATAAATGAATTCACAATTTTTGTCCTGTTGGAAAGTATAACTTAAAATGATTATATATGACATTTTAAAATTTTAAAATTAAAAAATAATTAAAAAACTTACGTTTGAATATCATGAACAATAACTTGATCATCGTTACCAGCAGATAAAATTTTTGTTCTACTGCTATTAAAATCCAAGCAAAATATATTACTAGAGTGTTGAGCTCTCATTTCAATTGGTTTTCCAGAGTCATGAATAGCTTGACTGACATTCCATAAAAGCACCCGTTTATCATCACCACCTGTAATCAATATTGAATTCCCATGAGTTCTAATTTTATAGAAATTATATAGAAAATTTTATTTTGAATTATTTTGCTATATAAGACCAAATGTCTAATATATTTATATATACTTATAAAATTATATGTAATAAAAATATTTACATACCAGAAATAAGCAATTCTCCATCTTTTGAAAATTCAACTGCATTCACACATCCATAATGGGAATAAAGATTTTTCTTAAATAGATTCTTGGAATAGTGCAGTCGAGCATCCATTATCAGATTTTGATGATTGGTTTTGTTGTTGAATTGTCTATTGAAGACAAATTTTGCAGTATTGAAAGAACTTTTATCAGGCATGTTTAATTCTTCAAATTTCTTTTGATATTGACAAACTTCCTTGCAAGAAGGCATATTGAATATTTTTGGAACCTACAAATTTATTTAATATCTTGAAAATCTCTTAGGAAAGTTATTAATAAAAAAATTGAAAGTTTAGTTTTTCTTCATTATACATACCAGTCTAGGAATAACACATGAAGAATTTCTGGAACTAATTAGCGATGATAAAGATCGCAAGAGCTTATGACTCTTACTAGCACTAATGTTTCATTTTAGTCCTACAAAAAAATCATAAACGCAATAATGTCAATCGCATTTCACTCGAATCGATTAATAGAGTTCGCCTCCACTTGTCACAAAAATTGTTTAAGGATATGCTCGTAAAAGATTAATTTAAGATATAACCTTCTGGACGATTACTTACGTTCTATACATGTTGAAAATCAAACCGAAACTTTCCACGTTTCCACGGTCCAAGCGTATACGGAACAGCTCTTAACAATCAAACAATGGACCTACGTTATTCACGAAGTTAAAAATTGAAAAATTATATCTAATCAACTATTTTTGTATGCTTTGAACTATAAAAAGTATCACTTTTATTAATTGTCTGCGCCATGAGCTCAATACCCCGTCATGACCGTTCGATAATATTTTTGTTATGTTTGTGCAAAGCCCGACGTATACAGCGGATACAAAAATATATCTCTTTTAATGCGATACTCGTCAAAACGCACGCATAGACAATCGTAGTCGTGGAAGGAGTATTTTTATACCACTACCTTTCCTTAGTGTATTGCGTTTTGACTTTATTTCGCAAGAGGCAAATGTCACAACTCACCACATGATCGGGTTCTTTTTTAATGGACAGACCCTTTAAATATTTCCTACACATTACACATAGGACGATGAGGCTGTGAGTGCGTGTGCCTCATGCGAATCTGACAGCGCAGCAAGCAGCGCATTTATACGAATGTGCTTAAATATACTTTAGTATCACGAGTGAGCGAAAAATGATTTTAATTTAAAATTTTTAGTTTTCTTCCTAAATTCGCATTATAAATTAATTGTAAAAATTTATTTCAAATGAATACTATTAAGTTTATTAAGAATTTCAGGGCACGAATTTCCAGAGATTTTGAAATTTAAAGTTTTCAAAAATGATAATCTTTATAGAAATGTTTAGTGTTATCTAGTGTTTCATTTACAGAAAGGAAAAATTTCACGTACGAATTTTCTCTTCAATAGCCAATCAAATTTTTCATCATATTTTTTTTGCCACTAAAGTGATTATAAATATTTAAATTTAGTATTTATGAAAAAAATTGAAAAATGTTTTACTTGGACATACAAAACTAGCACTAAACTTTGTTAGCTGCAGCTCATTCGGGAGCTTATTTTATGAACACTTTGGGGAATTTTTTTTCATTTGATAAATTTTTTTTTATTTTTTTATTTTTTTATTTTTTTTCATACATTTTTTAGATTTTCATAAAGGCATTTGATGAAAGTTTTACTGCATAAAACTCGATAAATTTTTGAAATTTTAAAACGCAATTTTTTTGGAAAGAAGCACACAATCTTAACTATTTAACATTTATATTTTAAACACAAAAATTCATAAAATTTTACAATATTTCCCAAACTACATGTTTATTGAGTAACCAGTAAAAATAAGTTTGACTTAGGTTTTACTTATTTTTTATGGAACTACAGATATTCAGAGAATTTAAGTATAGTAATATTAATAATAAATATCTACTTTAATGACCAACAATAAAAGATTATTTCTTCAAAAAAAAAACCTGATTTCAGCATTAATATTCATTGTCTTTTTTTAATAAAAGTAGTAAAAAGAAATAATTTTAATTAATGATTAATTTGATAATTTGGCTTTCTGCAAACATCAAGAAATAGAATGTGTAATTTATTCTTGAATGCAAATAAAATTTTATTTTCTTTCATCGCGTTTTTAAAATTTGAATCAAAGAATCAATATCATAAAGGTATAAAAAAATTATGGGCTTGATAAAAAGTATGTTATGAAAAGTTTTTAATATTTTATTCGCCTAATCAATTTACTACAAAATATTTGAAAAATGATTGTAGTGATATTACACTTGCAAATTTTATACGATCTACTTATTTACAGTCTGTACAATTGGAATAACGCAAAGCCACTAAGATACTACATTAGAGCAATAGCTCGACGTTTGACTTGTTTTGATCGATTCTTAGCTTTCTTTTTAGCATCTTGGAAAAGCAATATTCCTTCCTTCTGTTCATTTTCTCGTTGCTCATACTCTAGTGCATATAAGTTATATCCAACCATATCCTGGAATGAATTGCAATGTTGCATATAAATCAATATATTAAAGTATACACACAATTCCATATATATTAATAATCTCACAACTCACCCTTATAGTAGAGATTCGTTCTAAAGCAAGGCGATGAATTTCTTCAATTTGAGGTAGAAGATCTTTACTTGCAGTTATAGGTTTATTGTGAGCCTCTATTAGACTAAGGCCAACCTTAATAATCATTTCTGCCTGATAATCACTCTGAAGTAATTTTGGTAAAATTTTTAATATTTTACAAGCAGTTGAAAAGGGAAGAAGATATAGAGCTTCGTCAAAATCACTGAAAAAAAATATTGACATTATAAAAATGGCAAAAGATTTTGGTAAAAATTAATTAAAATGTTATCATACCAAGCTCGAACTCGTTTAAACGTCTCAATGAAATATTCATTAACATTTTGGCATTTATAAGTTTGCATCAATAAAGGTAAAGGTGGCATTGGATTTGGCGGAACGACATTAGCACATGATTCTTCATATTCTTCACATAAATCAAGACATTCAATAATAAGCTCAGCCTACAGAAAAAACGTTGCATAAGTTTAAACTAGATATCATCAATTCAATAAGAAATTTTAAAATTCAATACATACAGCTTTTTCGGCATTCACCGTTTTTCTAGAAGGTAAAGCCTGAGTTTTTTGCCCTTGGACAGCGGTTGTATCACCAGTTACAAGCTCATCTTCTTTTGCTCTTTCTTCTTCTGCTTCATCTTCTAGTACTAAAATTTCCTGGCTTCTTTCATACATGCGAACCACTTTATCCGATCCACAAGATGCAAGATATGTTCCATTAGATGATACAGCACATCCATGTGCTTGGCCAGCATGGCCTGGTAATGTAATAATTTTCTCAAAATTATCAGCATCCCATTCTTTGACTTTTCCATCTTTGCCACAAGTGAAAAAGTAATGGGTTTTTGGAACAAATGCAACACCTGTCACTGTATCATCATGAGCAAATAGAGATTTATGACAATCAGCGAAATCCATTCCCCAAATTTTAATATTTCTATCCGCTGATCCAGTGACTATTAGTGTAGAGTCACTAGAGATATCCATAGATAGTACTGGCAAATTGTGACCGTACAAAGAATGATAAAACTAAAAAGACGAAAAATTTGAAGAATTTTGTTAGTAAAAATTACACAGGCTCTACAAGTTGATAATAAAAAATGTACATACTTTCAAGGTATCATGCCAAAAGATTTTCACAGTTGAGTCCAATAAAGCAACTGCTACATATTTATTATTAGGACTAACTCTGACGCACATCACAGTTTGATCTAATTTCAAGAGTTTATGAGGCTTTAGAGTAAGAACTTTTGCTCTACTTTCAGATTCTTTATCTGGATCAGCCAGTTCAAAGTCCCAAAATTTGACTGTTGCATCTGCTCCTCCACTAACAACACCTTTCTGCAACATATATAAAAATCAAATTATTTATTTGCAACAATAAAAAACTTATTCAAAAACTAAAATAATTTACCAGTGATGGAAGGAGTGCAACAGACCACACTTCTTTAGAATCATGAGCATCAAATTCAATTGCGATTTCCGCTGCAGCAATATCAACGATCTGCAATTTTCCAGACTTGGTGCCGACAATCAAGTGTCTATCTCCAGGTACAAAAATTACACAGAGAGAATATTCGCCCTCAATTGTACATATGCATTTCTGGGTTGTTCTGAAAATTAAGAGAAAATTTAAATCTTGATGCAATATTGTAGATGCAGTACTGTAGAGCTAGAATAAATGGAGATAAAAACATACCTGCTCCAAACTTTGATGGATTCACCGCTTACAGTTGCAAACGCTAAATTATCTGAACTGAAGCAAACAGCTCTTACTTCACTTCGGTGACCATGAGAGATTAATTGTTTAAGTAAATCAGGGTCCTCACTCTTATCATCAATTTTCATTGAATACAATTCAATGGAATTGTTATTTAGACTAGCACAAACCTAGACATTTTTTTGGAATTAGATGTATGTTGCAATATTTTTGTTGGATTATATATTATCTTACCCTCAATTCTCCTCCTCTTCCCATAACTAATGCAGCTGATTTGACTTTATTTGAGACTTTGACAGGATTTAAACGACGAAATTGTTTTTTTATTGTTTCGGCTGCTGAATCTGATAAGAAATTAAAAATTTCCACTGTGTTGTCATTCCCATAACAACACAGTACATCACCTTCAGTGATTAAGTTTTGTACTCTACCCTTACCAGCTCTGACAATAGTACCAAATTTGACACATTGCAAGGGGCAGGTCTGTCAAAATTTTATACATAGATTAATAATTAAATAATTTAGAATAATACTTCAAAATAATAATAAATGATTATTTCAATTACCAGATCATCATCTTTCCAGGAAATTTTGTTTACTACTAAATCTGGGCTGCTACTTCCAAAAATTAAATAATTGCCAATTAATGTAAAACTCCAAATCTAAAAATAATAAAATGTTTATATTTTGTAGGAAAATGCTATAAAATTGTATTTTTGTATCTCAAGGATTAATAAGTACCTCAGATCTGTAACTCAAAGTTTCAAAATTATGATTGTTATCCAAATCCCAGAATTTAAGAGTTGCATCTGTGCAAGAACTTATGGCAATATTATTTTTCATAAAAGACACACTTGTTATGACTCCTTTATGTCCTTGTAATCGTGAAATACCATTTTCTGCAATGATGTCCCAGATAATAATATCTGTATCCTAAAAGTTATCATTTACTCATTAATATTTAGGAAATGTAATTTTATTTTTTTTTTAAATATTTTAAATTTACTTTAGATCCTGAAATTAATCTTTGACCCAACTCATCGTAAGCCATGCAAGTGATCTCTGAGCGATGCCCAACAAATGTAGCTATATTTTCAGAAGACTTTAAATCAAATGTCTTGATAGTACCATCATCGTAACCTGCAGCTATCTGTCTTTTATTTGGAGATGCTGCCAAACAAGTAACATTGGCTTTTTCTCCTGACAATACTTGAACCTGAATCATAAAGTACGAGGTATATGTTAATGGGGATCTGATAGATTTAAAAAAAAAAAATGTTAAACATTTAGCTCACCTTCTCGCCCAGGCGAAGATCCCAGACATAAACATGTTCACATGCTCCTGCTGCAACGAATCTCCCAATTTGATTTTCTAATGTCACAAAAATTACGTTGCACTTAGAGTCAGCAATTAAATTTACATTTCCTCCAGAAACAAATCTTAAATATTGTTTTGTAAGACCCATTTTAAATAATACATATAGGCACACGTGCTTTTGTGTATGAAAGTATCAACCGCGTTTCGAATTATACTTCTTATAACCCACGTGAACTGGCAGTATACGCGCAGTAGTAGCAGACTCGCTCACTCGCGTGTCAAGCACTGCGATCAGTCTGAGCGCGGTACGCCATCTCTGTTTCAATTTCATCGAGAAGTTTGAATTTTATGATAGAATTGATGATTGATATGGAATTTTATCTATATGAAATTTGAAAAACAATTGAGAATATTATGATTGATTGACATTACTCATCATATTGATTATGACTCTTAATAAATAATTTTTTTAAAATTGTATTAGCTAGTTTTTTAAGAGGCATTGTATCAAAAAAATGTAAATAAATTTGAACATCACAATATTTCATTGTACTTCAGTATGTAAATACATCAATAAATATTTAATTTCAAGAGAAAATCGATACATAATTTGGCGCAATAAATCTGCGAAATAACCGCTTACAAAAACGTAAGATCGCACCTCTTGACGTTTTTATCGGCATCAAGTTAGATCCAACAGCCGTCAGTGCCTCGGGACAAACACTTTTTCGACACTCGTCGTGCATGCTCACTGCTAACAACGACCCCCGCCGAAGCAACTCGTCAGCGTTTAATACTTGCCGTTCGCTCGCTAGAGCCTTCATGTAATTTCGCCCTCCATAGTTTTGATTGTATTATATTCATTATATAGTGTGGTAAATGCGGTGACGATGTTCCTGGAATACTTTTTAGATAAATACGTGCATGACAACACGTTATCCAGATAGAACGAAAAATTGGCGATTTAAACATACGATACAAATATTATACTATCGACCTTTGCCACTTTTGAATGTTTTGCTTTGGAAAATTAATAGCTACCGGATATATTTGGCAGCCACGACTGTTTCTATAAATTCATCTTAAACCTAATGCTATTAAGCATTTAATAATTTTTCCGACCATAAATTGAAAATGAAAATAGTTTAAAATTTCCAATCCATATGATAAACATGTTTTTTGTTGTGCCCAATTTTCGGAAGCCTCTCACATCCATTTCCAGATGCCTGAAAACTGTTATTTTTAAAAATTTTAAATATTTGCCGAATGCAAATGAACAATATCAATGCTATTTTTATTACTTCATTTTTCTCAACAATATGAGGAAGCTAGTTGAATTTTTTTTGCTAAAAGTGGAGATTGAAAATAATTAGATTTTGACATTTTTTCGCACGAATATAACTACTCGGAGTGTTAAGAAACTTTCGAAGCTAATATTTCTAAAAATTCGGAAAATGTTCAGTTTTATGTGTATTTATGAATTTTTGAAGTAAAATTCTCTTTGGATATGTAAAGTTCACACGTAAACAACGAGCGAGCAAATGACGTGGGATATTGGTAATTTTTGTGCCTCTCAGTATGAGTCTCAGACTAAGCCCCATAAGGGTTCTCGCTGCATTTTGATACAGCCATTTTTTCTGGAAACATTATTTATTTACTCTTGGCTGTTACTTACGATTATCGATGGGGTAAATCGATCCGATTCGACTGGAATTAGTTATTAATAATTAAATGTTGTAAACCATTATAACAAAATAACTATTAGATATGGAAAAAAAATCTTTTTTGTTCCTTAAAAGAAAACAAAGAAAAGTTGAAAATCAGTTCATTATTATCAGTTCATTATAAAAAAATATATATATATAGACATTTTGGAATTTCCAAAAAGTATAGCATTAAGTGCAAAGCATGTTCAATAATATTAATTGATATGTAGTTAACATATCCATAGCAGTGAAAAACAACAAGTTTTTTCAAGTGAATAGAGAATCAGACAACGGTCGATCGTTGAGTGCGAGCGAGTACGATGATTTTCATAAAACAGTGCAACGCGTGTACGCGAGCGATGATTTCGAGCACAGCACAGAAAAGAAGAGGGGTCAGGGCGAGGCGGGGAGCGGATCGTAAGAGAAAAGAAAAAAAAAGTGAAAAAAAAAAGAAGCAAATAAAAAACGTGGGCGCGAGCGAAGGGGGTGTATAGCAGCTATCCGCTGTGTGCGCGAACATCCGCTAATTGGATAATTACGAAGTGCAGCGCGTTTGTGCTATAATTGGGTGCAAAACGAACGAACGAACGAACGAACGAACAAGTACCAGCGAGCGAGGATCGACAACAACGTCGACGACGTGCCGAACGGCTCACTACGTGACGAACTACCCTCGTGGCTAATCCCCACGACTACGATGCCGCCGCCACCGCCACTGTTGTTGTTGCTGCTGTTGCTGCTGCTGCTGCTGTAATACTGAAATGATCGTCTACGTTTGCTATTGCCGTGCTTTTGTCGCCGTCGTCGTGACTTGTGACTTTCCCATTCATACACCCTCTTGACTTGCATACAGCTCGTACATATTTATAAATCTATATAGAAGTTATTGTCTTTATTTCATTTGATTAGATTTTCCGACGGTAATTGTTTCACCTGAACTGTCATATAGATAAAAAATGTGTAATATTATACGTTCGCATTTATATCTCGTGCAGCTGCCTGAGCTATCAGGGATGAACAATAATTTCAAACAATTCAAAATTTAAAAGCTAGAGATTCAGAATTGGAAGATTAACTCAAGCATTTACTCCAGAAAATATTTCATCCAATTCCACTAATAGGATAAGGTCACCCTCTCCTGAAGTAGTAAAACAAAATGCAATCAAACTAAAGACTACAAGTCATGTTATATTTGATTTGGAGGATCAACTCTTAGATCCAATTAATAATCATCGTTCGAGCCCAGAATTTTTTGATGAAAATGATTTAAATCAAGAGAATATCCAAGCTCAGTAGCATCCGATAATACAATAAGGCGCCGAACAAGTTGAAAATAACAGAAAAATAAAAATTTTTTAATGTTTTGTTAAATAAATTCTCATTATATAAACTGAATTTTTAAAATTAATTTATCAACAATTATCTATTATCAATTCTCTAAGTTATAGGCCAAAGATAACTCTAAATTATATATTTATGAGGATTATTTGTGATTTTTTCATGTTCTCATAGGTAAAATTTTAGCACTAGATCCTCAGTACATAAGATCTTCCCTGGAAAATCACCTGAGAACTCATCTAAGAAGTTTCAGTTGGGAAAACACCCAATGCTGGAACCTCGTCCTCGTGATGAAGAAATGATACATATTTACACGTATATTATACACGCGCACCTAATGAAGTTTGGTACAAGTTAAATACGATTGGGGCGAGTACGGGGAAAATCAAGTCACGAGTGTCAGCATTAATTCGAGTAGGCGAGCGCGCGCGCAGAATTTTTTATGATGTTAATCTTCTCGTTAGGTTACGCGCGTATATATGTACCAAGCGAGCGAGAATTTTTGCAACGTCGCTGCTGCATATAAATACATATACATATGCAACGGGTATGTAGCTCGTGTGCATATTAGAGCCGACGCGTGTATGTGTACCGCGGAATTAATTATTCGTCGCGGAGTTGCGAGCTGAGCACCGCTGTTTGCTTTCGCCTGCCTGCATATATATATGCAGTATATCCATAGGTGCATACGTATGTCGATTTAATATATACGGGTACACGAGTACGATATTGAACGATACAAGACACACACACACACACACACACACACACACACGCAGTGAACGCACTTGTAGCGCGACACAAGAGTTCTTGGCATTTACACGAAATTAGTTTTTAAGAATTATAAATTGTAACGAAGCTCTTTACATTCGCTTCTCGTTTAATGCTTATTACGAGATCGTAACGAAACTTGACGCTTTTCAAAATTTTCTTGTTGAATCATTTCTGTCCCCATTGATGCCTGTTTATGCGCGGAAAAAGGTGAAAAATGTCGACTATCGCTACCATCCGATACTCGAATGATATAATTATTTGGAAAATGTACACGATGCTATGAGTTTTATTGGATTACGCATCGACGACACTTCAGCGAGATGCTTGAAAGTTCTCCCGAAATTCGCAACGTCATTTAGTTAGATGTAATTGAACAATGACACGTTAAATTTTTACTTTTTTTGAGTACAAGATAAAAACCACAATTAAAATCAAATGGTATTAAGATTAAAGATAGTAGAAAAGTGATGTTGAAAACAAACATGATAAATGAAGTAGAACTCAATCAGTCATAAGAGCTTGATTTTTTAATATTTGATATTACGAATGAATACTATGAAGTGTTTATTTACACTCGTATTTATACTTAGGTATGTGGACTTTAAAATAAAGCTATAATTTGACAGCGGCAAAATTAAATTCCAAAATTTTGAATTAGTTAAAATAGAAGTGTTTACTGGAAGTAGCTTGAGTTTACTTAAAAGTTTTGCAGTATACGGTTTGCTCGTAAAGGCTAGTTCCCTTAAAAATAGAGCCAATTCATCTCGTGTATTGTGATGCGTCATCGATGCGTGCCAGAGGGAGGCTCGCGTGGTCGCTCCAAAGTAATTCAAGTCCAAATTGATATTTTACACGTGAAAGCTCGCAATCACCGCGCACCTCGTTTTTTTCTTGCGGATGTATCACCTCAGCGCGCACCTGAAAAAGAAGTTTCACTTCGTGCAGATTATCGAGCATATATATATATACTGCGTTGCGCGCGTACACACTGGCGCATGAGGCAAGTTAATAACAATGAAAGCATTTTGCTGCTGTGCGACTGGTATATTTGCACACGAAACGAGCGAGACTCTGTGCTTGCACGAGAGAGTACGCACATACACGCATACGCGCAGACGACGTTCGTGTGAGTTATGTAAACATACAGCAGGCAGGAGCGGCGATATATTTAAGCATTATAATGGGGAAAGAGAGAGAGCGAGAGAGAACTAAAGTTCCGTTCATTGCTGCTGCTGCTGCTGCTGATGCTGATGCTCCATGTATGCGCGCGCGCGCGTGTGTGTGTATATGTGCGGGTGGGCGAAGTCTGCGCGCGCGCGCGCGTATACGTCCATCCTCGAGTGGCCTGCAAACACTCGAGATGGCTTCGGCACATCGCGTCATGGCCTTCGCCGTCGTCAGCGAGACCTGCCACGCTCGTATAAGTGTACACACACACACACACACACACACACACACACACACAGACACAGACAGACACATGCACACACGCGTAAATATGCGCGAACTGGTTCTATATGACTCCTCGCGTACAGTTCACACACCGCGCGCACAGGAGGATGCTGCCGTACACTGCGGAATTTATGAAAACTGTATTACAATGCTCGCAAAAGTGCTCTATACGTCCCGTTCGCGACTTTTCAACTTTCTCCTACGTTTAGATTTACACCCGAATGTAAGAAAATAATTGTTGCGTTTGAATCGATCGACTAAAATTGCGATTCGTGTCTTGCCCAATAACTTCCCTAATTGACTTTAATCAATCGCGAATCGAGTGATTCGAGCGAGGCAGAAAAGGGCGTATACGCATATACGGCAGTGGGAGCGGGAGATGAAAAAAAGCGAGTCGGCTAAAAAGTGTCATCGCAGCTTTATGAATATAAGTATATAAGAAGAGGATAAAAAGGCTTCTTTCTCGTCGTTACACTCTAGGTCTACTCATACACACGCGTACATATCGTAAAGAGGGAGCATACATGAAAAGCTGCTGCTGCTGCTGCTGTAGACTGCACTTTTTTGCTCAATTATCTCCGAGGAGCAGCTAGCGAGGGATGGAAGAAAGTGGCGCGCATTAGCATCGCCAATGAATTTACCGTCGTCGCCTCGCTCGCTCGCACATACTTGCCACGCTGCCCTTGCATAGTGGCGCGAGCGCTCTATAGCTCCTGCTGTGTGTGTGTGTATTATACACGGCCGCGCTTTTTTCCCTTTGATGGCCCGAGACGCCGATGATGATGACGACGACGACGACGACGATGATGACTTAAGAGGCCTATTCACTGTGCTGCTGCACACTTCGCGTCCCTTTCGGCCATGTACCTTGGTGCAATTTATGTACGGTTGAACGATGGAAATGAAGGAGCTATTAGCGATGTCCATTTCAAAACGTAAAAGCTCCTTAGGACCATGGGACCTTTGATCAGTTATATTGTTATGCCATTTAATGGTCATACCTGCTCATAGATTCACATTTATAACGTTTGACTGAGATTCGGGAAAATTGAATTTCTTCATAGTTGAGCACGATAAAAAAAAGAATCAAAATAATCATGAAGTTTGTTGAAATGCTCATCACAAGAAGATATACAGCAGGCCCTCCGTATTCGCGGATTCAGTATACGCGAATTCTATATTCGCGGAATTTTGATACCTTCACTCCGTATCCGCGGAAACAAAATTCGATATTCGCGGTGTTTACCTGTTGCCAAACGTAACTTTTTGGTTAACTTTTGTATTTGTTGTTTACATTTTTTAAACGATGACATTAAATCCTTACAAAGAGTTGCACACAGACATGGTTCGGCGAATAAAACAATCCCGCATTACGGAATATTTTGAAAAATGCCAATAAAATAAATACTTTCAATTATTCAATATTTTTGTTATTCGACATTATTATTATTACATGTATTATCATTATTTTTTAATTATTCGCGGATTCCGTATTCGCGGTGTTTTTTAGGAACCTAACTATCGCGAATACGGAGGGCCTACTTTAATAGCAATTACATATTACTGCAGTATTCAACCAAACAATTTTCTCTACGAAAAATCTTGGCTAAAAACTTCATTGTATCTTAAGGAATTGGAGCTTCAAAATAACATTTTTCATCAAAAAATGCAACCATTTTTCAATTAGATCATTATTCTAATTTTTGCAGAACAATTTTAAAGGAAAGCTGCCGTTTCTGACGGATCGATGCAGTTTTATTTTCAAGCTGAACCGATCCGTAATCCCCTAGTAAAAGTCTTAACTTTAAGAACGACTTAGTTTTTCTGTTCCACCTGCTATGGGAGTTGAAAGGAGGATTCAGCAGTTGAAATAATATATTACTGCTCTGGGCCTCGAAAAAAAGACAAGTCCCAGAATACGTGTAATTAACAGGCGAGACGAAGCCGTGACAAGCGTGAGCCGTGGGGTAATAAGCGCATTGCGTATGCGCAGTGCGGCATGCGTAAATTCATCGCGCAATTATCTCCGTAAGTAGTGTATTTTTATTGGACTTGATCGTATGATGATACATTGCCAGATTATCTCCGTAACATAGTCAGGCAATGGTGACGCCCTCATTGATGCATCCGGCTCGTAGTTTCTACTCTCTATTCGGATTCTGGAATCATCAGTCCGTGTTTTCGAATGCAGCGGTGAACATATCGCGTCACCATTCTCTTTCTCAAGTGCTAGTACGATTTTAAACAGTAATTGAACCAACCACGTGCTCGGTGTTTCGAAATTTACCATCGACAGTCTTCATTTCAGTACGTTCCAAAATGATTGCAGATGAAAACGATTTTCTCGATTCAATTAATGAGAGATGTATAATAAGTAATTGGAAATGTTATCTAACAAGATTTTTGACGATGTGAACGCGTCTAGATACAAAGTTTTTTACCACGCTCTCTTCCATGATTTTGAAACTCTTCCCCGTGTTGCTAATGCTGTAATGCAAGATAAAACCCTATTTCCTTGTGGCAAGGAATTTTTAAAATTAGCATTGCAAGGGAGGGAATTAAAAAAGGTGAAATTCATTCAGGAGGTTTACGATTTGAATATCCACGAGTTCAGATTCGAAGACGGAAAATCAGCTCTTCATTATATATTTAAAGAAGATTGTTTACTTAAAGAAGACAAATACGCAGACAGCTGGTTAAGGATTTGGTAGATTATATTTTGGAAGATGCATCGGAAAATTACCACGACGATCACGGTTACTCGTATCTACACGGTGCCTGCATGACTGGCAACGTGGCTGCGGTTCTTCGTTTCACGAGTCAAGGCGCGGACGTCGCTCTCGACAACTACGAGTACTCGCCATTGCACATCGCCGTCCAGTATAAGAACACAGAAATCGTTGAGATCTTATTAAAGCACGGAGCAAATCCGAATCGTCGAGACGGCAATCAGTCGACACCCTTGCACCGACTTGTGCAAGTTCAGCGGTGTCTATGCGAGTGCGACTATGGTTGTCTCTCTTGTGCCGATAAAAAGCCAGCCGATGAAATCGTCGCCATGCTCACGAAGAGCGGAGCAAATATCGAAGCTCGCAATTATTTCGGAGATACTCCTTTGCAGGCGGCGGTGTCACGTTTTAACGTCGATCTTACGCGATTACTTCTGCAGCACGGAGCAACACTGAGCAGTCTGAGCGAGCGCAAAATGTTTAATAGGTACTTCAGTAGAGCTGAAATTAAAAACTATCCTTTAACCGCGAACATTATTAAGGTGGTGCAATTGTTGCAGTCAGCTGGTTACAAATTGGATTTGTATTCAAGACTCGATATGATCAGATGTTGGATGAAAGCTAGAGAAAATTCGAAATTGGACGATGAAAGCACAGTAAACTTTTTGATAAGGCCACATTTGGAACTGTTTGCGGCGGATCTCTTTATGACTGATTATTGCACATTACATTTGCCGTACGTCGCTTGCCGCAAAGTTGCTGAACACATGAGCGACGAGGATCTATTTCGTTTATACAAGAATACAGAGGAAGATAATCTACGATCGTTGCCAAGGCCAAAAAGACGACGCATTTTGTAATATCTTTTTACATACGTGTACTTTAAAACTAAAAAATAAAATAAGTTAAAAACAAAAAATTTCAATTTCACTTGAATTCCTAAGTACGATGAACAATCTACATTGATTTTATGTTGATATAACAACCACTGGAGCTTAAAATTATTAGTTATTTCGCAATATACCATTCAGGTATAAACTGATATGTGGTTGAATATCCACGAATTCAATGCGCAGATTAGATTTTAAATAGCAAAAATCTTTGAAGACGTAACTTAACTTACTAATTTAAACTAAACGGAAAACGTCTAAGAAAAATTTTCTGACGAAGTTGTTTCAAAGTTCGGGCTATTTAATCTTTTGTAATAATAGAACCTTTTTGTATTCGCGCATATTCTACGCGTATATAATTTCTCTCTCGTTATGCTACGCACAAACACACGGCCTATCCTTGCTACTAACTATTTATACTTACTCCTTTTTCGATCTAAGACTTCACGCGTCTGTTCCCTTTGGAGCACGCACCTATGTACGCGATGGAGCGTCGCATCTATAGGGCAAAAACATGTGAATAGTCCAGCGTGCATGTACAAATACATACCTGCAAGCATATATATATATATTCGAGTACTTTATTTGATCAGGCCCACGCTTCGACGAGAATCTCGAGAAGATTAAGGGCAAGCGAGGACTTTGTGGGAAAGATACCGATCTCGCTCGCTTTACACCCCCTCGTCTTCCGTACGTCGATGCACTTTTAAACCATTGTTACGACATTCTCGAGGTACTTCGGTACAACCGTCGAATAAAGCCAATAATTATTTCTCGTGCTCGTGTCCCAAAGTCATATTGTGCGCATCGCGCGATCGTTATAATCTCCGGGCGTCGCTGCTGCGATTTGTGCCGTTTCGACCGCAATCCACGGTCCAAAACATCGGCGCGGCAAAAGCCCTCGTTTTAATTCTTATCGTAATTCACGACTTGTATGTCGCAAACGACCTATTGACTGCTCTGCATGCGGGCCCCTTCACCCCTCGTAACACGCCCGATTCGCTCAAAAGCCTCGCATACGTACCGGATACTCGACACGTGCCGCGAACGCGTCACAATTCGTGTGCTTTTATACATACACGTATTATGGTATCCCTCGTATCCCAAGTTGGATGGAGCATCGCTTTCGTGCCTTTAAAAGTTGTTTAGGACATAAAATTTCAAAAATTCGTAGTTATGACTTTTTTATATTAAAAATCACAAACATTGAAAACATCATAACAATGTATGGGGATTATTCAATTCCGTAGCAAATAGGATATCTTATCTTCTATATCCAGTTGTCTTAAAATACCTTGTCATATAAAAGTATAATTATAGCAAATTTAAATGCAACGAAACTATTTTCAATTCGATTATTTCAAATTTTATTAAAGAAATAGATATTTGATAGATATTTAGTGACAAAACGTTTGTTTCTCAATGGTCTTATTATTCTTCCATGAAATTATTGTGAAAGTAAAAAATGCGAGTTTCTAATTATTGGTTAAATATTTGTATTTGTTGAATGACTTTAAAAGTGTACGGTGTGCAACCATTTAATATGTACCTAGCATTGTTCGTAAGTTCTGTCATTATAGATATCATTGTAATCGATTATGATCCATAGAACTCTTTCAAAATTAATTTTTTTACTCGTATATCTCTATGAATTTTATGATGAATTTAAAGTTGTTATTGAACCAGCCAAAAGACAATATTTCAAAATCACCACAGTTTTTCGAAAATTAATATGTATATCAAAAAATAGTTCGGCTTCGTCAAAAAGTTCGTAACGTTTAAATCTGCTGGTAGAATCACTGGTGGTATTTTGGAAATTTATCAAATCATTTATTTTATAATTGTATTCATGTTTACTCATAAAATTTTTTTTGAGAAAATAAGATCGTTTTATCAGGTATAAGGATTTATCAAGTATAGAAGCTTCGAAAAAGTATCAAGTAGAAATTTTACCCTTTGTCCGAATTACTAGTCATAAATAACGTGCTATTGGTTGTGTGTGTTTTGTTTCGCGACTCACCTACGCCTGCTATTAGGTAAATAAAGCATTTTCCAGATTGTCAGAAAGTGGTTGCTTTACTGCTCTGCCTGAAGGCTTAAAAAACAAGGTATTGTGGGTTAAATTAATGAGATTTTAAAGTAAAACAATACAATGACGTTTTGTGATAATTTGAAAATGGTAATTCAATATGGACTAAAAATTCTGCTACACCACTGCGTCAATTTCATTCACTATTTAGTTCATTGATTTAAGAGGAAAATACATCCCTCCGTGCCGTGCAAAAATGTTTATTCAGAGTATTTTTCTTACTGTTATCAAACTATCTTTGTTGGACGAAAAGGAGACTTGGTCGAATTTTCTTGGGAAACACATAGACTATGTATCTTTGTACGTTGGCCAAAGAGGGTCGCAATAGAAAAAGAAACGAGAAAAGAAATAAAGAAAGCGAACGGAAAACGTATGTATGTGTCCGCGTGTTTCTTCTTATACTCGAGCGTCAAGAGGGACTTTACAGAGAGAAGACAGCTCACTAATTACACTGCGCCTCATTAGAGTCGGAAACTCGCGCCCTTCGTGATGTTGCTATCTACAGCCTCCGAGCGAATAGGGAGGACACACACGTATGCTTTACTCTCAAAGCTTTAAAAGACATCTTCATTTCTCGAGCTTCACGATTATATTGTTTAACATTAAATATTTCAACTGCAAAAAATTGTTTAGATGACTTCATAGCTTCATCTTTACTCATTGAAACTTTTTGAAATTAGATGAAACGCGTGAGCAATTCATAATATTTAGCTCTGAAGCACGTTACAAAAAATGTCAAACATTGTACAGAATTGAATCCAGGTCGAAAACCCTACACAGGCGTCTATTTAATTGTAGGATGGAAAAATATATTCGGTCTAATGTCGTGCCACTGACGGGCTGTTTATAAAGCATGATATCCAATTTTGCGGGCAGCTTTGTCATTCGGATCGAACCCTCGCGCTGACGCATTGTGCGTGCTTATTGCAACGTGCGTGCATGTACAATATGAAGTGTCAGTTTGACGAAAGATTTTTCATATGCAAACGAATGATCGTCTGCTGCTTACAATAGAGATTGTGTTGATAATTCCTTTTTGTTTGAAATTACCGTTCTATGTTTACGTAAGACATGTGAATTAGTCAAATAAATTAGTCAAGAATAGATGGTACTCGATAGAAAGATAGTTGAATAATTTATAAAGTTTTAAATTTGTAACAAATTGTAACGTTTGAATATTCCCTAGTATCAAAAGTACATTAGTACTTTTAATTAACTTTACGATACATTAGTATCGTACCAGTATAAAAGTGAAATTAGCGTAATATTTAAGTCGATGTACAAATCATATTTTTAGTTATTTTTTAGTTCTAGTAATATACCTAGTTATTTTGAAAGGTATTTGAAATAAATTATTCTCAGTTACTATAAAATATTATCATAAGGCACCCAATTAAGATTATCCATAAAAAATTAAAGATAGGTATAGATATCCTTGTTTATGGTCTGCATTGACATCTATCATTTGAATCCAGAATACAATGCAACTTCTAATTTGTTAGCCTCACAAAGCGATGCTTTCTTCTTTCCGCGTTTCTCAGCTACTACATATTTTATAATGACGAGGGTACAATGGCCTTGAATTGTCACAAGAACGATTTCGAAAATACGGAAAAATGATAAAATCGCTCGCTACTCTCAGAAGGGTAATTTTCAAAAGGACAGAGAAGCGAGACACAAATTGCCAATGAAAGGTAAATGATGCGTATATCCCATCCAAGTGCAAGAAAACTTTTCATTTCGCGGTGAATGAATATTTGAAAATAGTCGCAGCTACCTGTTTACTTCGCGACGGGTGAGCCATTATCTGTCTCCCCCTCTTCGAGAGATCTAAGACGCGTTTGATGAAGTTTACTCTGTAACAAATAGGGACTCAGATTCTATCTAAATTTATTTCACGTTGTTAGTCAACACATTGATAATTTGTTCCGCTTAGTATGAACACTGAAATTATATTAATCTCACAACATTATTATGTATTAAGTTAGTTATTTATATTATTATTTATAAGTTAGGGGCTCAAAATTTAGCGCAAAAATGAGAAGTCTGCCTCAGTGAACTTTTGTCGAAAAGTTTCGTTTCATCGTCAGCCTCATTGTCGCGCTTAGCGACAATATATCCTAAAAGTTGTTGAGAATTAGAGACAATTAATTCTATGAAGCTATTTACAAAAAATGATTTATTTATTCAACACAAACTTTACTGCTGAATACTTAAATAAGTCCAGGACCGTACAGTAATCATTTATGATTTTACAAGAGCTCTGTTTCACTATTTTGACCAGAATTTTTGACGAAACTTAATATCTACGGTCTTAAAATCTTTTTTATAAATCTTTTCGAATCTATATGGAAGAGATTTTCGTTCAAGTTATTTGTCAAATCAAAAATGTGTCGATAAGCTTCAAAAGTTTTCAAGTTTTGTTTCTTTATTTTTTACTTTAATACACAAAAAAATTTATAAATATTTTTTTTTTCAAATTTTGTTTCAGTTTTTTTAAAGCAATAATAAAAATGGTAAGGTCTGAAGGATCTATATTGACCTTGCAAAAACAGTTCTTCTAAAACCGCAATCTAGATCTCCAAATCACATTATTACGAGTGACATTATATTACATTAAAAGATCAAGATCTTTAGAAAGCTCTCAAGTGCTGGAACTATTGAAAAATCTTGATCAATGATATAGTCACACAATACCTATTGTTACTTGACTGAGCCTTTTAATTCTAATTAAACTGGTGCTCATCGTGCAGAGTTATGCATAACTCTTAAATCCTGTCATGAAATACTATAATTTAGTGAATATATTTATGCACACATATAATTTTTTTTTTGTTGAAAAAGCCGAGAGTACATGTAAATACACAAGATGGATATGTGT